TACATGCATACATGCATACATACATCAGACGTGCATCCTCGTGCTGTCTCCGCTTCGTGCCTCCCCGCGCCGAACGCAAGCAGATACAACAACGGCTGCCAAGGACCTGCGAAGGTTTATGACATGCGGGCTCACCATAGTAGGTCGGAAGAGTTGCAGTTGGCTCACGTTCATGCCACAGCAATAGCACTCGCGCAATGCTTGTGGCTCGTGGCCAGGTACCTTTTCTGGCATGCGCATGCAAGATCATGCGGGGAAAGAGCGATAACTTCGGGCCAGCGTGGCGGCGCTCTGCTTCAAGGAGAAGCTAGACAGCCACTAGCTCTCTGCTAGCAGCCAGACTGATGTCGACTTCTCCGTGAGGAAGGTGCGGAATAGTGCCACAGCTGATTCACTTGCCGATTCGTTGGAAAGTGGCCTTAGCCAAATCGGATATGTAACTGGTCTTACATTTGTCCGGAGTAACAGCCCTCTTTGGGTTCATGCTATGCCTACACTGCGGGCAGCGTAGCTGCAGGTTGGGCACGCAAACAGGAATGTGGTCGGAGGGTTCCTCTGCATTCGGCATTGGCTGCTCCGGACACCGCAGCTTCGAGCCTGAGTAGAGCAGCAGCCTTATGTTGAATCTTCGCAGGACGTCTCAGCTACGTCTGCGAAGATCTCACAAGTATAGCAGCGCACCCTTCCTCCAACAGTCAACGGTTGTTGACGTCCATGCAATCTAGGCCCGCGCCACTGCGCATCTTTCGGACCAAGCCACTGTCCAAGAGAGTGTAAGCCTCCTCGTCGAAAAATATGTAGTCCTCGGTCTCACATGGCTTTGCCTTCTATGAACCCTTCCACGTCAAGCTGACAAAGGCATTGCTTCATTGCTGCTTTCAGACCGTAGTCTTAGTACCCAAGAACGGAGATGTGCAGGAAAAGAGAGAACGAAGGGACAGAAAGTAGTTACCATGGAACCTTGAACGTCTACTCGGCCAGGCTGGCCAAGTCCATTGAAGCATATCCAAGCTGTACATCGAAAATTATCGAAGCAGCCGTCGACGCTGGCCAGCAAACTGATAAAGGCACGCAACACAAGGCAACTCCTTTGTCATAGTCATTCCTCGTCGCAACGATCTCCGCTAAGCAATCTGCTCAGCCAAGCTCAGTTTCATGAACATTCGTTTACATGCTGACTTCCTGAAGCCTTATGTTGCGTGCATCTAAAACCGTCACTCCCACCTGAACCCGATTCACAGAACGGCGGCTTGAACTCCACCCATCTTAGTTAAAAGCGGTCGGACTGAGTCGAGACTGATTCGAGGTCTCATCTTTCTGTCTTTGAAACAAGCAGTCATGTGCAGACTGTGAGCAGCTCAGGTTCGATAGTTTCCAGGCGCGTGCCTGTTCGAGTCGACGAGCAGGCCTTACATGAAGAGTCTAAGCAGTCCAGAATCCGCGACTTAAACTGGGCATTGTGTTATATGTGACCTGTGCTGCCCCTACCAACGCTCTGCATGCTGGCTGGCACAGGACATGGCATGGACGCTCGGGCTGGCCCCTCAACACCACCGCCGGCTGTACCTCATCCCCGTAGCAGAAATCGAAAGCGTCGCGGAGTATGAGTGGTGTGGCACCACTTCGCTGCCAGCAAAAACGGTTTGCCTGCGTCCGACAAGCGCAAAGCCATGCAAAGCCAGTTCTCGAGTGTCCTCAGTGCGTTGTCTGGTTGCCTTGGTGTCGGAGTCTCGCACATAGCCAGTTCCTGAGCCGGAGCCGATAGCGTCAAGAGATTCAGACCTATACCTAGAGTCCCAGCGGATTCTTGGTGTGGGATGTTGCCTCAAACCGCACTGAGGATATGTGATATTAATTCATGGCGACCTTCTGCATCCTGAAAGCAGACACCAGCACCAGACATCACCGGACGGCAAAAACCGCGGCACTGCCTTGCTGCCCAGGATCCTTCCCAGATGTGCTCCTGCCAAGTAGCGGAGTCTGCATTTGAGCGACACTATGCTGCCTTGGAAGCCACACCCTGTACAGCATCTGCCAAAGCAGCCCTGATCAGTAATATGCCGCCGGTTACACTGCAAAATCGACATGAGCTCTCCCGGGCAGCTCCTACCTCCCCACCGCCCCTTTGCCTCAATGCACCCTCACATCGATAGACAAGAGGGGCATGCAATCCTCATGTACCACCGCCTCTGTGCAAGAAACCTCCCTCCCTGACGTTCATGCACATTGCAGTTGTTTGAGGAATGGAAAAAACCTCGAGGGTCTCGGAATCGACTCAGCGAGAACATCGTATCGTGGACTCAAGGCGGCGCAACGAGTAGCCGTGAGCGTCCGAGTTATTTAGTGGCGAAGGCAGAGCAGCTCACCGACTGGAAGCTGGCATTGCAAGGCAGGGAAAGAAAAGGTACAGCACTTACAGTAGGGAGGAAATCGCCAAAGGTCTGCAGCCACTATGACTGCAACGTTCCACCAGAAGCAGCTCCGTAGAAGGAACCACCGCAGCTAAACTCTGTCGGGTGCAGAACTCAAACCACACATGTCAGCCTTTTCACTGGTGAAAAAGCGTTGAAGGAGCCATGTCCAAGAACCAGAGCAGAAGGTGGAAGACTCAATAGACGAGCGCATGTCACGGGCGCAGGCAGAATGCATGTTGCACAATCCCACCAGGGAAATGCCGGCCCTGCCCAAAGTGCCATAATGACAAGATTCAAGTTGCCCGTAGTTCCCCCTCAGTCCTGAGGACAGGCCTCTTTTAAACCTCCTGGTTGTTGCGGCGATCAGGCGGGGCTCGAAACAGTTGACTGAGTCGGTTGAGATCACTCAACAGGTTCGCGGCCTGACTTGCGAGCTTCAGATCTTGCAGCCGACGAAAATCATCGGCAACTCAACACGGCTAGCAGCGCACATTCAGACAACAGTGTGGTACAACGTGGCACGCACCTCGGCCGGGACGCAGCTGCCGATGTCATTGTGGTGCACATGTCAAAGTATTGTACATAGGATCGATGGGAGAAAACATTTTGGCGCTTCTCCTGAATCCCGCCATCAGTTGGGAAAAAAACGTGTTGTCACATTTTGCTCCTGGACTCCTGAATCGCGCCAGTAGCCGCCACTACATGGGGGAAAGAATCAGGGTCGTGTCTCCCGATCCGAGAGTACTTGGGGCAAGCATTGTGGCCGTGCTGGTGAACCCCGCTAGTACTTGGAGGGAAACAGCTCGTGTCGCCTGGTGGTCGTTTGTGGTCAATGGACGTGGTGGTCTTGGTCGTCTCAGTCGTCGTGCTCGTGGTCGTCAATGGCCGTCAAGGTCGTGGTGGTGCTCTATCATGTTGGGGATTTACGCTGGCAGAAATTGCTCTTCGACTGGAGTGGGTTCAGGTTGTCGGTGACTGCACATGCTCTTTCAGACATGGATTTCTTCAAGTTCCTTTGAGTTTTATTAATTACTGCATGAGCTGTGCCTGACTTGTCGCGACTCGCACTGTGCGTGGCTGTCTTGTGGGTCCGGTGGAACTTTTGTTGTTCGTGTAGGGAACTTGTCACCCTGGGACTTGTCACGCTGAACACCTATTGTGCTGTGATGCTTTGAAGATGCTTTGTGCGCCGGATGGATAGGATGCTGGCTGCTTACACCTTAATTTACCTCCTCCTCAGGCGAACGCATACAGTAGTTGGCATGTATATTTGTCGTCGTTTCTGTGACAATGTTGGCGAGCTCCTTCTAGTCCCTGCATGTCGCGCGCAGTGGGACAGCGATGCGTGACCTGGCGGTAGGCCCATGTTCGTCTCAGGCTCGCGTGGGCCAGTTCGCTTCCTGCGGGTTGTCGAAAGCCGTTGTGAAAAAGCGATTGCTGCTCGCGTTTCCCTCCTGGGTGAGGAAGTGGTCAACCTGGGAGAGGACGAGGCGGAAACCTTCGACAGTTGCTTTGTGGACTCGAAAGCGTTCAAGTCCTGGTCGGGATCTGGGAAACATTGGGAAACTGGGTGAAGCGGCAGCCGCAGTTGACGAAGAAGCTGACGCAGCCAATCGCTGGCAGACTTCGCCGGCTCTGGAACGAAGGCCAGCCTGCTGCCTTTTTCATTCCGTCTGCTGTGAGTGTGCCTGCCGGAAGCAATCATACAATTTCTTTGTTCGGCGACATTCCCGGTGTGTCAGCAGACTTGTCGCGCTTGAAATGAGCGAACCCTCGGAACAAATGTTGTTGGTTGTGTGCTGCTTGTTGGATTCTACATTCTGAAGGTCGTCCAGAATGGAACGCTTGTGATCACGCAGCATTTATCCAACTGTGATCGCTTGCAGCAGCGACGTCTTGTCGTGTGATGTGCGTGCTGCACTTGTACAGTAAGGGTCCGCACTCAAGAACACACTCGTTTTCTCGAACTTGTTGTCTCGGTTGTCGCTGGGCAGCTTGCTGGTTCAGACGGGTTGGCTTTAAGTTCGCCAGCTTCGCCTGTTCCTGTGGAATTGCCACCCATATTCTTGCACGTGGAACCTGTTGCCTGTTGACAAAGGCCCTTTCTAGCCGCTTTACACAAACACTCCATGTGGGCTCGGGGAAAAAGATGTTCTACAGGCTGGGGAGCCCTGCCAGACGCTAAACTAGAGAAGCTGTCGGGGGTCGTCTTCGCGTTGTCTGAAGCTGGGGAGTTGCTAAGCAGCCAGGACCACGGCGCGTCGTCTCTCCTGCGACATTGTCAACTATCTGCCCGAATTGGCGGCTGCACTCCGTGAAGAACTGGTCTTGAACAGCCTCTTCCTTGCTTGGCGTGGTCCCTGGTGTCTCTGTACACTTGATGGCAGTGTGAGCTTCTTGATGCTTCCTGATTTGCGCTGTCGTCGTCAAAGGTGGGATCATGTGAAGGCCACGATTGGGAAGTGTTTGGTGCACGTGTGGGGTGCAAGTCTGACTGCTCACTCCGGACGTGCTCTCAGCCGGTCCTCCAAAAATCCACGGGAGTTCACGTTGAAATCCCCGCAAAGAATGACTCCTGGCGGCTTGGTTCCACGAATTCGTCACAAAGCGTCACAGATCATCTACCCGAGAACAGAATTGGATACTCAAGCTATATCCAGCAGGCACATACTGCCTCAAGTCGAGTAGCACCGCAAAGAGGCCACTCGTCAGCAAAAGGTAGTGGCCCTACGTTGTTTCCCACAGGTAGCCGGATTTGGACCAGGCCCGACCAATGATGTGACCACCAGAACCCTCCGCCAGAAATTCCCTGGCCGCCACCTGCGCCAGGATCTGCCCACGCCTTCATCAGATCTGCAATCGTCACTAGCTCCTGCCGAGAACGGCGGACGGGTTGGAAGCACGGCCAGCAGCACTCGTCGCAAAATTTACAACGACTGAATTATGCCGTGCGGTAAAACTATAGCTGACTATAACTGCTAAAAGCTTTTGAAGGCGAGTCGCGAGGCTTTGCAGCGAGGCGAGCCGTGTCTAGACGAGCATGAGTTTCGCAAGACGTACGTGGGAGCTCGATTCTTCGTCCGAGCGAAACTTGAAAAACCAACAAGCAAAATCTGCGCAGAATGAAACTTCGGGCCTACACGGACCCGTAGTGAAACTCAACGTGCCTATGCTGCAAAAGAAAATACCCGACCCGAACTACAATTCGTGTCCACATCTGCTCTTTCAGAAAGGTGGTCCCAGCTCTCCTGGCCTGCTGACGAATCTTGCCCTCTTTGTCGCGTGAACCTGTCATCAGGTGAGTGCCACCTTGGCGGAGCTTCTGGGTGGTCTAAGGATGTGAAACGGTCTAAGTCATGCTGAAGGTGAGCACCAGCTCGTGCGAGCTCAAGCTCCTTAAAGGCCTTAAACCTGCTCCGAGCCAAATTCTTAACAGTCTTAACAGCCAAGTGGCACAAAAGAGTGGGCAGCTCATCTACAGTCAGCTTGACAAAGCCGGCCAGGCGCCTGTCCTGAGCATTCCAAGGTTTGGAAGGCGCAGCTCGAGCGACTTATGCTTAGACGGCGGCTTGTGTTCCCAGCAGAGACGGAAGACCCGGCTCAACAGCTAACCGAGGCCACGAGGCACAACTTACTTGCAGGAATGTGGTGCAAAGCAAAGCGTCCATGTCCCTGAGCCCTGCTTCTTTCAGGTCGACGTTGCCGTAAGAGCCTCATGCGGCCGATGGAATTTGTTACAACTGTGTTTGGGGGGTTCTGCTGACCTCAGCTTGGGCCATTCCATGCCTGCTGTGCCTGTCTGACTTCATGTGCTGAGGCAGGGCTTGTGATGTCTCGGGTGGCAACCCGACAGGAGGTGAGCAGAGGACCCCACAAAGAAGTCTGAACGAGGTTGGGGGTGCCACATGTCACGGCTTCGCTGCAGCGCGTGAACAAACAGGTGGCCTGTCTCCATACCACATGGCACGACATGGTCCTCTCAAAATCTGAGGTGGGCTTGTGGCTCTGGCTCTGGCTCTGGGCATTGGGTTTAAGTTGTCATCTGGCGAGGCTTCGGGGTTCGCGGGAGGGCCTGGGCCTGGGCTCTTCCGTTCACGCTTCCATAATGCTCAACGTTTCTCCCCCGCTCCCATGCCACTCCTTTGGAAAGGTGTCCACCATGGATGCACGCTCGCGCTGCCAGAAAAGGCCAACTCCAACTTTCTCCTGGAAGAAATTAAGAAAGGGACCGAGAGAGAGTGCTTCACATCTGCCTGGCCGGGGCCGAGGAAGAGCGCGCCCTCATAGCCCCTGGCCTGAGATGGGAGTTCCCCTCATGCACGTGCTACGCTCACGGTGTAATTAAGGATGCTCTGCTAGGCTGCAGACGGCGAGAGCGTCGCGGAAGGAGCTGTGGGGCCCAGTGGGAAGCTCCTGCCAGGCGGTTTGTTTGCCCGTCTCTTGTGTTCACAATAAAAAAGTTTGAAAGGTCGGTCTGCGAAGATCTCCAGGGAGTTTTCGGTCGCACCGAAAGTAACTGCAGGTCGGAGTGACTGCCGCTGTTAAACATCTTCCTTTGAGGAGGCACACTGCAAATTTCCATGCGGCACCAGCACAGCCAGGCTGCTCAAGTTTGCTTTCGAAAAGCCGTTACTTCACGAGGATCGTCAAGCACCTACATTGACAAGCGATCCAAGCGCTCCATAAATTCCAAACTGTTCAGCCCGCAGAAACATGGAAGAGAGACAGTGTTTCAGGGCTGACACCGAATGGACGACACCTACAAATGTCACAGGACGAAGGCTGTGGATGTGCACTCGGCCCGGAAGCACCCGCGGCAGTCTTGAAGCTACTCATCGTCCAGCAGTACATGACATGCTTTGCATGTCCTCAAGCACTTGTACTTAAACTCATCTATTGTGCATAGACCGAAGGCTTTGGCCTCAGAACATGTGGAAACCTAGGGAGCAAGGCCGAATGGTAAACTGGAGCATGCACGACCCTCGTGGTTGTCACACAATGCAAGCCAGCAGCGTTCTGTATCGGAGCTGACAATCCAACATCACGACACGATGCATGGCATTCAGGATTGCAGCCGTTCGGCGAAGGTGCGATGTGGCTAGCATGCGAAGCGTTGGTGCATCCACAGCTCTCCGGGCAAATGCGCGCCAACGGTGCTATCACCTCGTCGATGCCTGAGCGGGTCAAACAGTAGAACTGCCGTGGCTTGCTGCGTCAATATCTTCTTCTGTTCGTTCACATTTCTGTTGCCGGTGCCAAAGGAAGTAGAAGGTGTCCGATCGTTTTCCTTGCAAACAACCAGAAAGGTATATGCGCTCGTGTTTAACGGCACCAACGCTGTAAGGGAGTTTGTGTGCACCAAACAGACACGTTACAGTGCAAGTGAGAAGTTCACTCCGAGATACTCGGAGTATACTCATGATAGCTGTAAGAGACTGTCAGGATAATGAATGAGTATAACTACAACAGCCCTTCAGTACCAGTACGCAGGGGCAGACTGCGTGCAGACAGCAGCTTAGGTTGTCTCTGCTGCTACTTGCACAGCTAACTTACACTAGAACCTCTCGATATGCCAGAAGCAAGCTCCGTTGCTGCAGGAACTGGCCCAGGGCAATGGGTACACATGGGGACATGCATCACGTGTCCGAGCATAGAAGGATCATGCTACAGTCTTCGCTATGCACTCGCCCCTGTGCTGGCTCTTAAGCATCCCGTGAATCCCGCGCGTGGCCTGAATGTTTGTGCCTACTACTACGTACTGGCCACGATGCCATCACACCAGCGCTGCTGTGTCACTGGCTCCTTGGCCAGTTCCGGATGAAAAGCCAACGCCGCACATCCAAACTGCTGCATGGTGCCCATCAGTTGCAGAACCCACCTCGGCTGCAAACTGCAAATCCGAGCAGCTGCTGCGCAGGATCGAATTCTACTTGTGTTGGTCCTTCAACGGCTGACTCCACGACTCCTGCTGCATCCTGCTGCTTCGATCAAGGCTTGCTGCTATCGTATCCTCCGCGACTGAAATGTAGGCTTCAGTTGTATGCGCAAACCCCTTGCAGGCTTCAGCGATAAACAACCAAGAACCTGTCGCGAGCTCAACAATCACAACTGGATCGGGCCTTGCTGGCAGATCTCTCATAGCCGAGATCTTGAAGCACCCAGCACCAAAAACTCCCATTTGCCACCAAAGGCGCTGACCCAGGGTCGAGTTGTAGTCGAGCGTCACACCGATCTCCGTGCTGAGCACTGTAGGATAACCATCCCAGAATTGCTTCCACATTGCTCCATTCTCGATGTCCTCGCAGATCGGCTGCTCTGGGCTGGCTGCATTTGACAAGCAATTCCTGCTGCAGCCCTTGTGTGGCACCTTGTAAACCGGGTAACTTCGTGGATCCGAGCATCCACAAGTGACGCCGCAAACCTGCCGCAGCATACGTGCCTCCGCATCGTTGCAATGACTGGCCATGTCCAAGCACGTGCTGTTGCGCGGCTCGTTGAGAACCGCGGCAGCGGACCAAAAGTAGGGTCTGTACAGATCCACGAACTCGTTCACAATTGTTTCGTCTGGTTGGTTCAGAATGTACAGCGTGTCCAGATCCTTGCAGTAGGCAAAGCCTGTGGCCGATTCTTCCATGGTCTGCAACACCATACGGTCAAAGCGCTGAACGTCACTCTGAAAACTGATGTAGTCTGCTGGCATCGAGGGCTCTTGGAAGATGTACTTCTCTACCGCCAGCTGACTCAAGGTTCTACCAGAAACATTGGCGTGCCTCGGTTCGTTGCAGAACACTCTCTCTGAGACAAAAACGAGACTCGCCCGGAATTAACGCAAAAACAAAATCGACTGGCTTCGATACGGCTGACGGAATCGTCCGTAGGCCAAAGACGAGCTGGATGTCTTCATTCATTCCCACCACGAAGTCCTGGTTTCCAAAGCAGTAGGCTCGCTTGACCTGCATGTTTTGCGAAGACGACGGATGAGGTGGCAGGGTTCGACTACCCCCGTTCCCTATTCTCATGTCACCTGCGCTTACGCGAAATTAGCCGTTCTAGCCATGGCCAGAGTTGGCCAGGCCATCATCTGCAACTCATGCGACCTCCGGCGGGTTCGTCTTATTTCCAGGTGCCTGCGACCTCAACGACCGCCCCCCCGTCAACCTACGCTTCCTTCAGGCTGGTGATTGCCCAAAGTACCAGCTCCGCTTCACTTGAGGAGGCCCCGACTCATAAAATAATTAAGTACCGTATTTCGAGAAGGGGGTTGGGGGGGTTCTAGAGGCTGATGTTTCGGGGATTACCATGCCCTTAGACATCCTTGACACACACTCTGGGAGCATGCTCGAAGAAACAGGAATCCATTGCGAGGGTTGGGCCGCGCCACACATTCATTGCGCCAGATTCAACTTCATTACACGAATTCCAGTTAGCTTTATGTGATCCACGCCCGATGCGGGCACAGGGCAAACATTGGCAAATTCAGAATAGTGAGAATAGCAATAGCCGAAACATGGGCACGGCATCCACCTCAACGACAGGAACATTAATCCCCCTCGTGGAATACATTCTCGAAACCGGGAGATGTATTGTGGGACGGGCCCCGCCGCTCCGCAATACATTCGTTAGGGCTGGCAGTATTGGCCCATCCACTCCTCGACGAAAGCCCTCCTTGAATGTTGGAAACGAAGTTGCCAGTTGGTTCGGGACCTTTAAGTGGCACCAAAATTGGATGTGGAGTTTTGCCAGGCCTTGGCTTTCTTTACTTCAGAAGTCGAACTAGATGTCCATTCTGTTGTTAGAAACTCTAACGCATCGTCCTTTCATTGACTACATATATGAAAGCGTTGCTCAATGTCCTGGCAAAGTCGAAGATGTGCGACCGCTTGTACTTTGTCATTCCGGCTGAATCAGCTTTTCGTTCGATTCATCAGCAAGCCAATCGAAAAACTGCAATGGCTGAAGCCTCTTGTATGTTCGGCACCGGCGACCAGCCTGGAGTCCTACACTATAGCTCGCCTAAGACCTCATTCCTGCTCCGTGTCCTGCTCCTTCTAAGTGCCCGCCCCCGAAACAAAAATCAAAAGGACAAGATCAGCTAACTTGCTTAAACCAGACGGCTGCACACAAGCACCGGCAATCTTGTAACGCCGGGTTGCTGTTTCCATGTCCTGCGCAAGTGGATTGACGATGTAGACATATGACCATGCCAGGATGCCTCCCAAGGCCAGCATGATGCAGACCGCCTCCACCTTCCAAGTCAAAGCTGCCGACAAGTCCGCTTTGAAGACTGAGCCGCCCCAAGTCCCCGAGTGCCGGGTAACGATCGGGTGCGAAAGTCGGGAGTATCGGCGGTGCCCGCAAAATCAAAGTCTCCTGCCCTGATGCCTGCTTAAATGAAACCCTCACAACAACGAACGCATGACTGCACCAAGCGATGTCAGTTGAGAGTTTTGCACACCCAGCTCAGTCGAACTTCGACAGCTGTCTTCGTAGCTGGAGAAGCCGCAAACGCTGAGGTTACCCTAAAAGCTAAGCCCTCGCCCGGAACCCTAAAAACACCAAAACCCTGCGCTTTTGACTCAGGCTTCGCGAATCGGCTTGTGTGCTTCAATCGTGTATGCTCGATTCGCAGCGGATGCTCGACTCGCGATTCAATGCAGGGTCCACTCAATGGCCTGGCTGCGGCAGCGGCTGTACCTGATCTTGATGGCCTTGGCCGCCACCCACGTCTCTCAGAGCTAATGACATTCCCCATTCAAAAAACACCACCATAATGACAAGAACACTGTCCGCGAAATCCTCCAAAAATAATCTCCACGTTTTACAGCCTGTTTTGAATTAATTAGGGAGTGTATGAGCAAGAGCAAAAGCACGAGCAACAGCAAGAACAGAAGCAAGAGCAAGAGCCGCAGCAGGAGCAAAAGCAAGAGGCCCGACAGGAGCCGCAGCGGGAGCCGCAGCAAGAGTCGCAGCCGGAGCTGGAGCAAGCTCTTCTTCCCCGATGTGACAGTAGAAATGAAAATGCCCCCTAACCCCAGTAAAAAAAAAAAATCGACTTTTTTGTTGGGGAGCCCCCCTTTACGAGGGGTAAAGGATTATCCTACTTCAGCATTGTACTCCGGAAATGCTGCCAACATCGAATGCCTCAAGGTCTTGGATCTTGATCTGGAGCTTCTTGGGCATCAGCGCGGCGAAGACCATCTCCTAGTCGCGTCTCTCGTGCGAATTCCGAAGAGCTGCGAAGTCTTAGGTCTGCATCATCTATTGAGCGCCTACTCGCCCGACAGCTGCGTCAGCCAAGTCCAACCAAGCATCATCGACGCTCAACACTGCACCCAGAGCAACCGCATTTACTATGAGGTCACTGATCGATGTCGTTGCCCCCAGCCACAATATGCCTGCGTACCTGGTATTCGGCGAGTCAGACGAATCAACTGCTTGCCTACTCTGCGCCGACCAATGAGATGTTTTTGGGAAGTCTGATGAGTCTGATGTATGCGGGTTGCAGCAGGGCTCCGCTGATGGCTGCCCGAAGCAGGCGCAAGAAGAAGTAGGCGCAGAAACGTGGCCGTGACATAGCCTTGAAGCGCCCGTCGTGGAAGTCAGTCCTACCAGAAAGGCCAGAGCAAACAGAAAGCATCTGTCGCCACTCCTTCGAGATGCTGTTGAGCCTTTACGGATTCGTTCTCGATGCTCTGCGCTCCCCAGAATCCCCCTGTTCTCCACACCACTTCATCCGAAGCTATGACACAACACAGGGGCCACAGTTTGCAGCCATCAGCTGCCAGTACCCGTTCTGGTGTGACTTCTGAGACCTCAAATTTCCAGCCTAAGTCAAAAGTGGAAAGGTTTGCTTGGAGACATTTCAGGACAGGACCCCCAATGATTTCCTGAAGATTCGGTCACCTCAGATCCTCAGCATGCTGGCCGAAGCCTGGGCTCGGAATCTTCTATTGCTCCAGAACGCCACAACCACCGCCAAAAGTGTCACTGCCCAAGCTCCTGCGCTTGAGTGGAAGCTGGGCCACGGCTTCCAGTGAAAGCCATATGGTGCGGAATTCGTTGGAGATGTACCTTGGATCTCAACAGACACCATCCGTCCCATCAAGGTTCCTCAGCCACAGCCAGGCCACAGGCACCACAGGAGGATGCAGAGCATGGCCAGCAACACACCCGTTCGAGAGGCACCCTCTTGGTCGAAATCCGTGGATTTCCTCGCAGCTGCACGTCTGCTGATGTGATTCTTGCACGCGATTGAAGCTGCATGTGGTGATGCAGAGTTTACGCTGGAGTCCTAGCATGCAAACACTGAGCCGTACCTTCTGTCCACCAAACACATCCATGCCGACCCCAGCACCCCACCCCAGGCAGCTAGGAATATACTTTGTGCCATCAAAATCAATTCACATGAACGGGTTGCCACTATTTCACTTAAACTTTGGTGGTGAGGACGCAGGGCTGCACCGAGAAGACGAGATGCTGATATCCGAGGAACGAGTTGATCTGCCGTATCAGTGAGGCCTCTTGTAGACGTGCGCATGATCGAAGCAACACAGCTGCAAAGTTAAGAATGCAGGATAGCGGTCACAGGTTGTCTTAAACTTTCATAAGCAGATGCTTTCGTATGTACGGTCCGCAATTGGCTGGCATTGCTGCTGCACACTGGTCACTGCTGCAGCCTGATCTGTGGAAAGGATGAGAGCGCCGTCGTCGTTGCAGACCCGGCTGATGAGACTCGTCTGTGCAAGGTCAACGTGCCTCAACAAATGGATTCGCGTGGTGACTGCGGGCGCCATCAATATACGATCTCGCTTCTCTGCAAGCCCTGCCAATAAGTGAAATATAATGAAATCGTTCGACGGGTGATTTTGCGTTTGGGGGCCAGGGCCGTAACTAGAACCAGAAAAAACATTAGGGTGCCAACCAAGACTGTATTAGTTGTACAAGGCTAGGACCACTACGACCAGCCCTAAGAGTGATACTACAAATAGGAAAAGAAGCAGTTCAACATGGCGGTGGGGAGTGCTTTCATACTGGGGGAACCGATTACATCTTACGAACCTTCTACCTGTAGATTCCAGCTCCACAGCTGCAGCTGAGAGTGAAGATAACCGAAATCGCTGTATTCCCCGACAGGACGCTTAAAAGTGTAAACGACACTTACAAAGTTTGCTTCTTTGCTATGGTCCTGAGCATTCAGAGAAGACAAACTCAATCCCAGCAAGCTGCATTGCATCGTGTGCCACGCTTCTCCGCCAGGCTGTGGCAATCTCGATCCTCAATTGCAAACAGGTTGCCGGGTTCTTCGGATAACCATTGACTGTCAAATTCAGCTTCTCGTTATATCTGGTCTCTCGGCAACTACGCAGGCGAGCATGACGACATGACCTTCGCGCAGCGCGGTTCTGACCTGCCCCATACTATTCCCACCGAAGTCAACCTTGCAAACCAGGAACTAAACGACAAAGCATGTTGCCATGTAGCAACAGCACTGAGCAGCAAAGGCTCTGCAGGCTGAAAGGATCACCCTGGAATTCCGGACTCCTCGGCATCCAAAATGCTAAAAATGAGTGTTCTGACTGGAAATGTGGTTGGGATCGGAGCAACCACATCTGTGCCATAAACTCAGACATAACATACTTTCGGTTCACTGATCACAACAACATCGTGAGTGACTTATGGGAGCATAGAAATGTTTGCTACATACACCCAGCGACATTCAGCGTATATACATGCTGCTGGTGCTGGTGGTGCGCGCTGTGATGGTCGCAGTGATGGTGGTGATCGCAGTCGTGGTCCGGTCGTGGTACTGCTTGCTCGTATTGCTGCTGGTCGCTGCAGCAGAGACCCTGGCTTTCTTGACACTTCGCGAATGCAGAAAGTTGCGTCGTGCATTTCAGCGACGATAGAGTGAGAGTCGCAAAAATTGAATCAGAGCTCAGCTGGAAGTTTTTGCATTTGGGGCGGTCGTGCAGGTCAGGACACTCAATGTTTGTGCACGGTGCAGATGAACTCAAAAGCAGACAGAAGCCGTGCATTGTCAACTGCAGTCAGTCGCAGAAGCCCATGAGATCTTCAGCCAACACAGACACTGTGCGCAATGGCCCGGAAAACGCTAAACCCTGCAACCTGAATGCAACTTGCAGTCGGCACTTGTGCACTTGATAGCCTACTGGCGCAAGCGATCCTGAAGAGAGATGCTGATGCAGGACAGGGCTCAACAAGATCCAACTGAAAAAGGCTTGCGTGGCCACGCTGGCCAGGAAGAGCAGACAAGCAATCACCACGTCCTCTGCTTGGGAGGCTGCATGGGATCGAAGTTCTGTTGAGACAGCGGGAGCCTCTCTGGCAATCAACATGCGACCCTTGACGTCAGCACCATCGTTCGTTGTGTTTCGTTCTCGTCGTCCTATCCTGCACACGAACCTCCCACACAAGATTTCGCACAAACTTGCACGACATCTCTCTGACCCAAAAGCCGAGCGGCACACCAGCCTGCACCGGTGTAGCCGAGCACCAGCACCAGATTCCAGGAAGTCTCCTGGCAGACACGAGCTACGAAACAAGTTGTCCGCCCGACACATGGGTCGAGCTCTGCAGTCGATCTTCACCTGCAATAGCCTGCAATCCTGTGCGAAAGTCCAACTCAAGCCAAAGTTCCAAGAATGCCACGGGCTCCATTGGATCGGTTTCGGCAATCGTGACAGCGACCTCTTGTGCCTGAGTGCACTCGGTGCACTGTCCAATGATAGAGTAAACACCACATCAGCCACGAGGACATGTGCCCCTCCGACCACTTGTGCTCCCGAGGTCTTGGTTCAGGAGACGCGGTGACGAGGAGCTCGCTTTATCTTCTGGCTCGGAACCATCATGCCGATACAAGATGCTTCGATCATGGTATCCAGTCTGAATCGACCGGACCCGATACCACTTCCGGCTTGATACTATCCCTCTAATAACACCAATCTCTGCCTGGATGCCTCCGCGTCTTCCGCCCAAGCCTCCCGTACCACAGGCGCGACCTCGCGTTGAAGGCTGCTTCACGTTAACTGACCTGAGCCACTGTCTACCTCAAGCCTCAGGAATGACGACAAGGCACTGGGAAAAGCTCACTTTGCACGGGTTCACCTTGTACGCGGCCTTTGTTCGACTCTTCGTCCTGGTTGACATCCTGCCGTTGTGAAGCACAATGGCTGGACTACTCCGGTGCGTTTACCTTCGAGGGTGGAGTGCTTCTTGTCCTTAAAGTCCTGCTCCGCCTTTTGTTCTAGTGTTTGTTTGTTTTTGTCGGGTTTCGTAGGGGAACCAATACGGGGAAGGCATGGGAAGCATTCCGGATTTTGATGGCAACCCATGCCGTGCCAGTTGCAGTAGTTCCGTCGTTGTTACTTCCATTCGGATCCTTCTTCGCTTCTGAGTTGCCTCTTTCCTTCATTCCTCCGCTTCTGCCTTCCTTCGATTCTTCCTTTGCTTATTCCTTCCTTTGCTTCAAACTTTCTTTGTTCCCTTTCTTCCTTCCTGCCTTCCGGGCCCCCCACCCATCCCCTCCCCGCCAACAGCCAACAAACACAACTTCTTAACCATATCCGACTCGTATCAGCCTGAGGCATCAGTCTCAAAACCTTCATGTGCAAAGCCGAAGCTGTGCCTTCGAAGTTCCCACGATGCATGCCGTGTTAGTTGGGTGGGTTGCTAGAGCTCAAGGTGAGGGAATCAAGGAATCTCGAAGCTTCACAAACAGAGACTGTGTTGACCGTTCCAATCCGGACCGGGAACGTGCCTGCAACAACGCGGACCTCGGCTGCAAGCGCTGGAGCTGTGCCTGCGCAGTCAAGGAGTGGGCAGCCAGCCATGCGCCTTCCTCATCCTTCCTGTCAACGCACATACATCCAGTTGCCTGGGCCTCAATTTCACGCAGAAACTGAGGTCGCTCCAAGAGTCTTACTTACAGCAGGCTGGGTCAGACCTGTGGGCGCCTGTCCGACGGCATTGGCGCTAGTGTTGTTAGGCTAGCCGGCTCCAGCTCAAGCACCTTTTCACTGCCATGGCAGCTGCTGCTGCTACACGTTAGATGAATCAACGGTGCCCTTCTTGTTGTGGAAGTTTTTTAGTTCTGCACCACGCTAAGAATGTTAACCATGCCGAATACATGTCGTTCTGACCATCGTACAACAATAATGTCCTATCCAGGTCCTATCCCTCCCAGGGTCTTACCTTCCCAGGTTGGCCAGGTTGGGCCTCAAAGGCATCGAGCCGAATCGATTGGACTTTCAGACGCTGCGCAAGCTCCGCTTTGAACTCCTGCAATGGCTCCACATTACCAGACGCCCAGATGCACTCAATGAAGGGATACATCGAGAAATGGGCATAAGCGAGAGCGACAGTGAAAAGCGAACAACACACTGCAACGTTTCGAACGTTACGTACTCATATTTCTGATTCTTGGCATGTCAAGATATGTCAAGTCCTCGCGCATTCGCCGTTCCAGATTTGCAATGTTCTTCTCTAGCCTCAGGAGCGCTAAACATCGGATGATTCTTGATGCAGAGAATAAACCTTCGAGCACGAGTTGCAGAAACAGCATGAAGCATGCTTATGAAGATAATCTAATCCCACTTTCGCGCTCAGAAATCAGCAACTGAAACCGCCGTATAGCTTTTGTTTTTTGTCCAGGAGCTTGGAGGCCGACATGCCACAACAGCAGCGGAAGCGCTAAAATCCGACGCCGCACTTGCAATAGAGCAAATTCCCTGAAACACTGCTGAAGTCCAGGGGCCAGAACCTGATGAGCTGCCGTGTTCATCCTAAAGCCCTCGCACTCTAGACTCTAGGTCTCTAGGCTTGTATGACAGTCCAAGGAAACCAAGCAGTCCCAGCTTGACCTTCAAGTTACTTGGATCCAAAATGGCTGCAGGCCTCCTACAGTAGACGTCATCAGCCTAACGGAAGGCAAACTGCGCAAACAGCTGCGCGAAATGTCAGTTGCGAAAGCTGAATCGATCGGCTCGAAATGTCCTGAACGTCATACTCCTGCAAGGCCAAGAGAGTTGGCTGAATGGCATCGATCTTCTCGAGGATTCTGGGACCTCGAACCTGGCGAAAACCCCGCAGAAGCCCTTGCCCCAAGCCCCAGCTTGAGGTAGCTTGCGGGGTGGCCAGGCTTCTATTTCCCCTTCTCCCTACGAAGATCTGTACCAAACCTGAAGCCAAGAGAGATAGCTCCACTAAGACAAAACCACCATTGATAACGGAGGCTCCCGCAAGACCCAGATACATCCTCCGCCCCTTTAACCCCAGGTGGCGTTTCGAAAAGCCGGGCCTGCCACGCCCTCGACTCCGATTGGACTCTCTGCAGTGCTGCATAGAGTTTCTCACAACTGACCTCGCGAGAGAAAAATGCGACGCCGCATTGCGATCGCATTGCAATGACTCGCTGACTCGCACAGTCGCACAGTCGCACTGCAGCGGCCTGGCCTCGTCGAGATGCTGACGCGCAACTCCGAGGAATGTCTTGCCACCGTCCAGGGTCACCGCATCCTCAACCTGCGGCCCGCCAGGAATCTTTTCTAACCCCGCCGGAAGCAGCCATAGGCCAGGAAACGAAACTTGAATGAGTCAACAAAGTGGGGCCCCACAGTTATACTTCGTTGTGAAACATCTCACCATACCCTGCCCCTCGACCTACTTATAGAATATTCTTTACTTCACTTCATGAAGTAGGCGCACCGAAGAACTTAGCCGGAGTGCAGCTTGTGACCTTCGCTCGCCGTACTAAGGCGCTGCTCATGGCATTACATGCCAGACTGTGGACCGTTTGCACGGCTTTTGCCTTGCATTGACAACCGAAAGCAAACGGGGCTCAAGATGGTTCAAGCACGACTAGTCAACACCCATTCGAGGCATCTTTGGCCTTTGGCCTCCTCCGAGCCCTGCGTCATGGACTTGACTACTCCTGTGACTCCTGTGTGCACGAGTGGTCAACCCCAGCGTAGCCTTGATGCTAAGATGTTGGAACACAACTGAACATAGTACAGCGTCGAGCATGTGTACATATAATACAACCCAGTCTCTACAAGCACTTTGGAAATCAATTCCCTGCGCCATTTCCACTCAACTTCGAGTTCGGTACTCGTCAGACTCCACATCAAACCACCTCCACAACCGCCAAGCATTCTTAACGAGCACTTCCAAGCGCTGGAAACTATGCTTCAACCAGCCTTCATCTCGGCATGTACTGGATATTTACTGGATATCACGGCATCAAATGTTGCGGAGCCTGCACGCCGTCGAGCTTCCAGCCTTCACTAAACAGCTTCGTCAGGTCTTCCTTGTCCCAAAGTCCTCACAGGAGTCGTGATAACTTTAGTAAAATGAGGATTCTTATGTGATGATGAACTTTTCAATACATTGGGAATCATTATTTGTTGAATTTGCAATAAATAAATTTTGGAACAAGTGTTGCTTTGTCGGACTGCCATGCCGAAGGCACACTGCACTCGATTCTCCACGCAGACAGGGCGACGTCAGGAACAGAAGACTGCCGACTCAAATGATGAGATCGGAGTCCTCGGGACTTGATCCTCAGCCCCTGCCACGAAAGGGATGTGCAAGCGATCACTCAACGAATCATTCGACACAGCCTCCGGATCGACGATCCAGGTCTTCATGGGGTGCCACTTCCTGTACTCGTCATTCAAAGCCTGGCAGAGCCCGAAGTCTTTCTGGGGTTGCACCGGGGAAGCCCGGCCTTCGTCAGAGCAGGCCATTTGACCTTCCAGTCCTCTCGAGAGCTTTCAGCAAGACTGAGACAGCTGAAGCTTCCCTCCACGGAAGTAGCAGGGTGTAGCAGTCCAGTTTCAGAAACGCTAAGGAAAACAGTGCCGTGCTCTGAGTGTCCTCACCAAAAACTTGCATCAGGGTCTCTGCGGAGGGCTCCTGATGAATGCGACTTGTGGCAACTGAGTGTTACGAGTCTGCCAGTGCAAAGAGATGAGCCAGCATGCTGCACTCCCCACAATCTCCTCCATTGTGCGGGGAACCAAATTCGAGGAAAGCTCGTCTGCGAGAATATTGTAGGTCATGACCTTGGTTAGGAACATGTCTCCGCCAGGCTTCTGGAGAGCTGTCGCTGGTTGCTGATCGAAGTGTGCCGAAGCTTTGCTGCCAATCCGAGACACCGTCAATGCAGCAGGTGTCATGCCCGGCTTGGTTAATTCCGACATCTTGGCAGGGCTGTAGAACAGGCCAGGGGGCGTCGCCTATGGAGATGTGGCTATGGGACTAGTGATGCAGGTGGCTCGGAGCTGGGATGTGGCACTCGACAGACCAGTAACTAGTACCTGGTACTACGTCTCTAGCGCTGCTGCGCAACGGACTTGCCGATGTTCTGAGGCTGAGGGCATCTGAGGGCCATGACAGCTGTTCGGGTACAGAGCGGCACAGAAACATGTCGTCTCCAAAGTGTCAAGCATATTCAAGCATGGTGTTCGCAGTCTGATCCAACAACCTCTTGTTTCCGGTCATTCCCAAGATTTCCTTACGCGATGCAAGAAGACATCCCGCACGGGACCTGTCCACATCGCCGGAAAGCACAACCAAGTCCTGCAATCTGCAGGCACGCTTACAAAGCCACTCCCGAGACAACGTGGCAAAACAACTACCTGTCTCGTATCGATTACTGAGCCTACGACTACGACACGGGAGCGGCATTTAATCCCATTGTCACAAAAGGGCAAACGGGAAGGGCTTTCTCGTTGCCTCGTCCCTGTGCACCGTCGTCACTCGCAGGGCCAGATGCTCGAGCTGCGCATCGACGACGATGTCCTGGCCCGGAAATGATCCGAAGGCGGCATCATGCGCCAGTCCGACAATCTGAAGCAGATGACGAAGGAGAATCATGCATGTGTTTGTTGAGAGCATCTCAAACTACTTCAACAATGATGTCTGAAGGACGCACCCTCAGCCTCATCTCTCGCATATCAATGGGACTTGACACCTTGACCGGCGAGGCAGTCCTGGGGCAGGCCGTCCGCCTGCCACAGCAACAGGACTCAGTTTAACAGACTCTTCGGCAGAGGTAGAGCTTGCGAGCTTGAATGGCGAAACCTGGCCCCCTGTTGTAACCACTAGGAGTTCTGCAAGACTGAGTAGGGTGGAGCAATGAATCTGTCCTCCACTGAGGTAGCTGGCAGCGTGCCCCGCCTTAGTTAAGGCGGTCGTCGACAAGCCGCTGGACACTCGTTAGGCGTGGACATTCGCAACCGTGTTGGAATGACTCTGCAGTCCTTTATAGGTAGCTCATGGCAAAAAGCAAACAGACCCCATAATCATAGCAGTCAAGGAACAAGTCCAAAGAGGCGCCTTTGAGAATCAAGCTCAAACCAGGCCTCCGGCACTTCGCAGATTCGTGACCCCACTTCCCGCCAAACTGATTGCCATGCACATGGACAGGTCTCACCAGAAGAGTTGCAGACAAAGGCTTCACCACCAGTTCATGAATTGCCGAGTGGCTGGTGAGGCCGCTTTACTGAAGTGCAGGAGGCGGCCACAGATGGGACCTTTCCAAGTCCGGGTCTCACCATGACCATGCGTGCTAATTGCAATGGTAGACCCTTTCAACCCTTGCGCAATGGTGCTGTTCGATTCTATGTCTTGAAAAGCCCCGTCGCTGTGCTTGTCAGGTCCAATTCCAGTCTTGTCATGGACGGTCCAAATCAGGAGAAGGAGGCCGAACGTCCAAGGCGATGCATGGCGTGGCGAAACCAAGACTATGCAGAATGTCTTCAACAGCCCTCCGATGACTTGCCCACCTCCCACCAACAACCACCTCCCTGTCTTGTTACACACTTGCTCCTTCGGCCGAAGAGCCTCTTTGGCTCGCCAGGCAGAAGCTTTCTCTGCGTGGGAGCGTGAGCGTGCCATGAACTGTGAGACATCAATGAACATGTTCATTCATGTTCAATGCTTCCCTGCTTTGCCAAAAGGCCAGACACGGCACTTTTGGCACTCCGAACTGGTCGTCGGAAAGGTTTTGAGCCACTTAGGCCGAAGTTGGATCTGCCGCCGCTCCACCATCACTTGCAGGGACGGCTTGCTAGGAGCGCGCCGGAAGAGTTTGCAGAACAAAAGGTACATAGGCGGCTGCGCCCGGAACTTTGTCTTTAGAGGGGGAGCAGTTTTTGCGCAAAATCGGAAGTGCCGTAACTTCCTGCAAGTAGTAGCCCAAAGTGATGCTTCAAACGCATCCTCCACTGAACCTCGCTCACAGCTTCTCCGCCACGAAAAGCTCGCACAGCACCGCCACCTCTCAACGACCCATGAATCAGCCTATGGGCCGACTCAATCATCAAAGCTTTCAACAGCGCGTCCCATGGCCGGGAGCTTTCGTAGAGGGCACAGTTGGGTTCCAGCATTGAAAAGTCCAGATGAAAAGCAAAACGACGTCCGGGCTTTTTTAACTTGTGCGTGTTGCACGGTCGGGCGTCTTGTCTTCGGGTCGTTGATCCGCAGGAAGATGGTGGTCCCGATCGTTGGGCGTAAGCAGTTGCTCTCTCATGGCCAGAAGTGGCTCGCCAGGACGACAAATCGCATAAACAGCCAGGAGGGTGATGCCCGCCCACCTTCGCCATCCCCAAAGCACCGCCAGCGAACACATCGCGTGGAGGATCGGTTCGGGCATAGGCGGTCTGTGACGGCGGAACTTCTTTTTGTGCGTGCGCGACAAGCTGCCGGTAGTAGTGCAAAGGGGTCCCGGCGTGTAACCGAGGAGCTTTCACGGCGCCGTCGAAAGAGCCTTGTCCGGCCGCAGAAACGACCCAGTCGGCGAAGGCCCTCCAGCAGCGAGAACGCCAGCTGTGGCAGGCTCGACAGGAGAGACCGCCGCAAGTAGTTACGGCGCCCTCTCACGTCGGACCCGAGGTCCGGGATTTGAAGCCTCACCGTTCCTGAGCGTCCCCGCTCTTGATTCTTGAACAGCCAACGACATCCCAAGCGTCGGTGGTCTCGAAAGCAGGCAAAAGCGTCGCGCACCTTGTTCGCGAGGCACTTCCACAACCTTGTTGGTTTGCTCCTCGCGAGCTCAGTCCAACTGGTTTTGTGCTCGGTCTCACGTCCGCGCATCCGTGCATGCTTGAGTGTTTGGATTCAATTGCAACGGCACCGAAGCCTTCTCGATCAGAGCAGAGTGGGCTTCCGAAAAGGAGAGCCAAATCGGCACAGATCCGACAGACTGTCATTCCAGCCCACCTCCCCGGAGCACACTTCCCAACCGGCTTGTTTCCACAGCCAGCTGCAATGCGAATGCGGGTGGTCCACAATCATTTTCTGACTGTTACGAGAAGCCAGGATGCAAAGATTTTGCAGCCCACCCAGCTCGCGATTTGCCTTGTTCCAGGCGCTCCCGCTGGCGAGGCCCAGCTTCGGCCAGTTCTGAGGGAACTCGCGGGCTCTCAAAGGCGGTCAAAAACAAAAAGTATCGGGCGTGAGCTTCGCTGTCGCTGGCCGTCGCCAAGCAATCGGCAATCCCGGCCACCACCCAAAACCTCGCACGGGCCCGGCCAGCCGCGGAATGATCGGTGTTCCAGCCAGCCTCTTATCCATGCCGGGTTGCGAGGCTCCCAGGCCGGCTCGACTCCAAGTCCGGAGCGCTCCGGCTCCTCTTTCAAAAGCTTGCAAAGTTTCAACTAGCCTAACTGGCAACAATCCAGGACGGCGGCTAGACATTCGGCCCGGTGGTCCTCCAAGTCGACTTTCGTCGACCCCGGCGCCACCAGTGGGTTACTTCTTCCTCCTCCGACTCCGACAGTGGCCCGGCACAGCGAACACCAAGAGCAGACCTATTATCTTGTTCGGCTTCGAGGCGGGCTCTGAAAGAAGGCGCAGCTGGTCTTCGAGGATACCTGCCGCCGTGCTCTGGCAACAGACCCAAGGTCCAATCCCGCCGGCAGGATCGGCAGGATGCAGACCCTCAGCGAGGCTCATTCAAGCAGGCAACGCAAGTCTGCTGGGCGGCCGCCCGAGCTTGCGCACGCACTTACTATACTAACTTTAACCAACCGTGCCGCACCAAGCACAACAAATCCAGGACCTGACCCAAGCAAAGGCCCTCGCAAATCCACAAGGCCTGCGAATAGAAATCCAAGGCGTTTGGGAATTCCGGGGAGGACGGCCCCGGAGTCGGATGGATCAGCAGAGGCAGGGCGGAAAAAGGAGGAAGGACGGATGCTGCCTGCTGCGGCTACTAGCGAAAACAGCCTTGACGTCGTGAACTGCAGTACAGCAATGAACAGGACGCACTCGGGGCCCGTACATCAAAACAGAAGGAAACACTGGAAGCCCTGGTATTTGTAACGCCAACATTGTATAGGGCGCAAGAAGCGCAGTCGTCTGTAGCTCAACGTCCCGTGAAGGTTTTGGGGCCCAGCCGTAGAGTTATTACCGAAACAGCCTCAATCAACACGAGCCTCGTGAAGCACAATGCAAGCTGTCTTTAGATGGCCTCTCGTAGCACGGGGATTCAAGAAACAAGCTCTTTGTCGATACTTGCCAGAGTAGTCCTAGGACGTCCTAGGTAAAACGTCCTGCCGAATGTGTGCTCTGTGAAACTACACACAAGGCTTGTTGAAATAGAAACTATAGTGCATTGCCGTCCGTCTCCATCCTGACAAGGATTGCCGGCTGTAGTGGAGCGAATCGAAGGTTGGCGGTTCGAAAAATCCGTGGCTGTCCCTTCCGGGGTTCGGCAGCGGCCCCTTTCATCTCCATTCAGTTTCGAATTCAAGCGGCCCAATTCAAGTGAAGCCTGGCAGCAAAAAGAGTGCAAAGGGCACTCTGCAGAGGAAGGATGCGCCATGCACTGTGGAAGGTGAAGGTGGTTGCAGCCGTAACAGGCTTGAGGGGTTTTCAGAGCTCACAACTCACACGACACTGGGTTTCTGTTCACAGTTTCAGCCTTTTTGATCCAGCAGGGATTCTGTTGTTCGCTTGTGGTTTCTGGTACTGCGGGAAATTCCGCCAAAAAACAAACTTAAAGGACCGACCCGAAAATCTCGCGCCTTGACGCTCACCGAGAAACGCTGCGGCTTGGTTGCATCGTCTGGTTCCTGCACTTTGCCAGCCGAAACGAGGCAACAACTTGAAGCACCTGACGGTAATAGCTACATGTGGTGCTCTTATTACACTTCTTGGACATCGATGGCCAAGAGCATTGGGAAATCCTTCATGCCCTGACGAATGACCGACACGCTGGCTCACCAGTTTATCACCGAAGCTGCAGTACCACACTTGTACGGAAAGGCAGGGCAGTCCTCCAGGAAGGCATCCAAACTTATTACCTGCCAGGTATCTGATCCATCTATGCACGTACTCTGCAAACGGAAAACACCGCGCCGAAACGGTCGTTCCGACAATTCAACAGCGGAGACCTGTTGAGGTATCCGGGAGCCTCGTCCTCTGAACGGGTGGCCAAAGCTTTGGCACGAACCTGGCAGCAGCCCACACTGGCCCAACCGCAACCCCTTGCTTTGATTCTCGGCCTGACACCCAAGAGGGTAAGATATGCAGGCATGCAAGGTGGACTTGCAGAAACTCGCGCAACTGTGGGTGTTCAACTTCACACGCCGCAAAAAATTGCTGGCGAAAGCAATGCTTCTGTGCAAGACTCCGGCACCTGACATTCCGCCAACCAAGCCACCGATGCAACAGCCTCGTCAAACAAGTGGAGTACTTGAAAGCACTTGGCAGCTAGTGGCTATGCTGCTACATGGTTACCTGTCACTGTGAGATTCAGAGCTGTAGTAGAGCTGTGAAATGCCGTTCCACTCACCTTTTTCCTCGCAAATCTTGTGAGCAGAACATAGAATGCGTCCAGTCCTGATACAGGCTTTGAACATGATTGAACCAGCGGTCCAGCCACAAAATATTCGCCAAGCCAGACCCCCACCAGCCGTCACTCCGCCTCTTCCATGCCCCTATCCACTCCCTGTCGAGCACGTCGGTTGTTCGAGCTTTAGGATTCTGGGGTGCGGTGGGGTGGCTTCCCGGATCGAAGGACGTGGCATCACCCCTTAGATTCTTAGATGTGCAATGATGTGCAGCCCCACCGTCATGGCACAGCGGCGCAACACCGGCCCACCCTTGGAAAGCATCTTTGGATCATAGCAGCATATCACATAATATCACATACCCGAACCATATACCCCACTCCCGACACTTTCTTTATATAAAATTAGAACAATTTGACAGCAAGTTGAGTGGAAGCTGCTCTGCCCTCCATGGTTGCCTGATGTGCTGAAACCCTATCCGCCCGACGGCAGCCGCTTGAAGGGGGTTTGGCCGCTCACCTCCTGCCATGTCCCCCGAAGACCGAGCATCGATGAGCATCGGCTGAGGCCACACCAAAATCAAAGCATCAGCAGGGCTCAGACAGAGCATCCTGAGCCGAGGCTGGGCCACCCCAAAATCAAAGAATCAGAAACGGAGTCTGGTCATGCTTTGAGTCCCCACCTCACCGTTTCGCCCTCACCCCAACCCTCACCCTCTCGCCCTCCACCTACCACCGCACACCACCAAAGTTCAGGGATATGTTCTGTTGCTGTGTGTTTTGCTACCCGGTACGACCAGTAGGAAAACGGCCGCCAAGCAGAACATACCTCAACTCTTGCGGGGAGCTGGCGAGGGGGGGTGGGCCGGGGTGGGGTGGGGTGCGGGTTCTGCGCTTTTGCGGGTGGGCACGCAGCTACAGAATGCTCGGACCCTTTAATGAAGGGTCTGGACATCTGCACCAGTGTTTAAGCGTGAATGTTGTCGACATCTGTGCCGATGTTTAGACGTGAGCCGTGAGCTGTGTTTTGCGGTACCTTCGGTGCAACCCTGCAAGAGCCCCAAACCCGTATTACGAGCCACCGCCTTCCTCAGCCCTTCCGCGTCCTTCCAGCAGCCCAAGGAGATTTCCAAATCGAGCGAATGTTTTGTGTCCATCTACAGGCTTCTATCAAGAGACAGTCACAAAGGTCTCAGGCCGGGCCGTGGAAGCGAAAACATGCTTGCAGAAGGGCCGAAGATGGCCGAAGTGCAGACTGAAAGATGCTCAAGATGCTGGGGAGTTCGGAGACAGCACCCCCCCAAACTCTTGGTATGGGATGCGTTGCGCCATTGAATTTGCCTGAAATGCCTGAACAAGCCCTGCGCCATCTTGCTGGAACAGGGCCAGCCAGCGCAGACAGGAGATCGGGCTGTGGAGTGCACGGTTCTTCCCCTCTTGGGCGCTTCCGGGCCTCGATGAAGTGGCGCTGGGCCAGCTCCTCCCGTGTCGGGAGTCTCTCCAGCTTCAGCAGCTCCTGGTAAGCCTGGCATCACGCGAACACAGAGCGCTCACGCACTCGCGCACGGCCACCGCGCACCTCTGGCGTCACTCTCGGGGCTGCAAGGAGCCCTTCCAAAGCCTGGGTGCTAAAGAGTAGGCGCCGCTGCGGTGCACTCTGCTGTGCAGTCACACGCTGACTCCGTCCATATCCGTCCGGTACCCGAGGAGCTCGAGCTCCACACTGACGAGCGGAGGGCTGATGCACCGGCGGCCGTCCCTTGAAGGTAAGCCTTCAAAGTGATTCAGTGATGTGCTTACTCTGCCGTGAGGGCTATCCGTGCGGCTCTCTTTAGGGTTGAGTTATGTTGAGTTCTCACTCGCCAGCCTAACAAGGGTCTACCCTATGAAACAGAATGCAAAAAAGGGCTGCTCGTGGTCCAAGGCACATCCACCAGGTCCTTGATCACCTGCAAAGCACCGACATAGCGAAGTATAACTAAAGGTTTTTGTACATCATCATGGTGAGATTTGCCCTGCACGCTGTCGCACCGGCCCTATGCAAGATCAACGCATGACAGCACGAACTGTGCCGTCTGCACCTGCACTGCGCCAGGGCTGGCTGCCAGAGAAGGCTGCACCCCGGAAGCCTGCATCTGCTCTTGCCATGCAAAATGGCCCAAGCCCTCGCGCGCAAGAAGCAGACTTGAAATGTACGACCCCCCGCGGCCCCAAAGAATCTGGCTGCGCCTCGCTGAGAACAATGTTGAGTCGGGCACTGTCCTCTGGGGCTTCACATCGTCTTGAGTCTGGGGGGGGGGGGGCATGCACAGCACCGTGGTAGATCACGCACCTACGGCAATGGACGGCCTTGGAAACCAGTACATGTCAGCTCCTCGTGGTCTTCACGAGCTGCTTCCTCTCGTCCCGCACCTACGCAATGCATGAAACGGCGCCCATGCACGCTGGCAGGGACATGCCGCAAATGCCTGAGCCCAGGGTGGCTGACAGTCCGAGGTGTTGGAGCAGAGGTGCAGCACCGAAGCCCCAGGTACCTGCGGAGCTTGGCAAGTCCGGAACAGACCTGCCATGTTGCGCCTATGGCAAGGTGTGCACGACAACCCTCCCACAGCCAAGAAGGTCGCAAGTGGAACAGGACTTTGTACTAGCAATGGATCAGCGCTGTACGGAGACTATATCTTAATGGTTATATTCAAGGGGCTACAATTGAAACACTGCTGGGCCCTACGAGTAGAAGAGACTGTCGGCTCCGTGCGAGACGCGTGCGTTAAAGATGCTTTCCCAGGTCTAGGTGAGACAAAAGACTTGGCCAGGCCCGGCAAGCCACGATGATCCACAACTGAGGCGCCGCAGGCCCCGCCCCCGCCTCCAGTGACTGAAACAAGCTCAGCCGTAATTCCTTCGAGATTGACCTTGGCGAACACCGCAACTCGTTATTCTCATCTTATGCGCAAGCTGCCCCTCCGAGGATCTCTGAGGTGCCAAGCTTCTGTTGATCCTCCCAGGGGGTCCCGATTGACGGCCAGCTTTGCGATGCCTGGAAGGAGCTGCAGCTGCACCAAATCAACAGGCATCCACAGGCCACAGGCCCTTCAGCTGCATGATGCTGCATGCCACGTCATGCCACCAAGTTGCGCAGTGAGATTCCATGACCAGTGCGGTCTGTGCGCAACTCGAGCTGCACGTCTTTTACATCCACCTGGAAGGTTTCAGTCACAGTGCTCGTTCTGTATTTACATCCGAAGAAGCTTCCTTGCTTGAGTCCACCTCCCAGCGGCTCTGCATCTCTGGAACGAGCTTGCTTCGCATGGCCCGGCCAAGTCGTCGCCACGCAGGTGCTGAAGCGGGGGCCACCTGGCGAAGCTTGGCCTTGGCCTCTGCCTCTTCTGTTTGGGAAACTTTGTCTGTAGCCCCTTTTTTCGCCCCCGCTGCCTGCACCGTCAAGGGCGAACCCTCTCCCCCACCCCTCAAGTTTGCATGTGGATGGTTGGCGACCTTCAAGAGGGCACGGAACATGCAGTGACTCTGTTTCGAGAGGCTGCACCTGAGCTTGGCACTAGTGAACTAGTATGAACCAGTGAAACCTCACGTTATTCAAGCTGCTCTGTTCACTTTCCGTTGGTCAATTCCAAGCAGGAAACACCTCATCGATGACGGAATCCGTACGAGAAACAAGAGGCTTCTTAAGCCAAGTCCAAGTATATCCTATATCCTACGGCTCTGAATTTCGAATTCAATCTCCGAGTGGGCACAGTAATCCTACACCTTTCCTGCCACACAACCACGGACCTTGTTTTGCAAGAACGGAACAACTAGGAAAGATGGCAGGAATGGTGCTTGGGTCTGCTGCGCTGCAGATGTGGCCACATCAATTAAACAAGCGCTCATCTTCGGCGTCTCCATTGGCATTCCTCTGGTGTACAAAGCTCCATTGCAAGTCTCTGATGTATACCGTATACTAATTACTACTTACTACTTAGCTACTACTTGTCCAGAACATGCCCGAGCTGCGGCATCACAAGCGACAAGCTGCATGTATCATGATTCTACGGACACCAGAATGTACCAAGTCCATCGGAGGTGCTGGTCAAAGAAGTCGTCAAGGTCGTCGCTCTGCTCTTCATCCTCCGGGTTGCCTCGGTCATCTCAGTTCAAGTGCTAGAGCAGGCACTACGAACACACGCGAGTAAAAAGTCAAGCCGGTGATCGGGGCATCAAGATCAGACCGAACTCCCCTGAGAATCGCAAGAGCACAGCCGATGTGGCAAGCTCGGTTTCGAAGCCAGCTGTTACGGAGCAAAGCATTCAAGCAAGAGCTATGCAAGAACGGCTCCGTTGGTTCCTGTGTGGTTGGCATGGATTGTTCAGGAAGCTGCTGTGTACTCCATGCTCCGTGTTCTCGTGCTGTCATGTGAAATCTCGAAGGCGAAGGAAGAGGCCGCTTGCATTCGGTGATACTTGGGACAGCACTCGAATTCTTGACTTGTATTCACAAGTCCACCATGCTTTGTCTTCCAAGACATTCCATCGCACGGCACGAAGAAGCATGAGTGTTGTTTGTTGGGGGGGGTGTACACGCAGGAAGCTGTGTCCTGGGGATACATCTCTAAGTTATTTGTTGTATTCAAGACTGATCATCGCACAAGACGGCAGAACGGCTTGGACTTAGACTTCATAACTTGAGTTCGGAAGCTGAATGCCCGTAGTTCCTATGTCTTATGTTTATGGGACCTATGGGAGTGGACTCATGTCCTGATCTTACACCCTGTAATCTCTCCCCACGACATGTTCAGATTGCATGTAAGACAGACAAACGCACAATCTTGAATGCAGGGTTCTGTTGTGTCTTGGCACTCAGCTTCTTGTTTCGCCCTTGCTTCTCAGTGATGCGACACGGCATTTTGCTCAAACTAGTGAAGCGCTCCGGCTGACATGTTTCAGTTCGGCCGAGATTCTGTCTGTCAATGTGTGGGACCAATTGACAGAGGACACCTGGCATCTTTTGCAGGGATGAGGTGTTTCAGCTGCAATCTGTTTAGGCAGGCTTAGGTAGGTTTGAAGTTTGGCTGAACCTTGGGCCAACAAGCAACTGCAGTACACAATGAACCACGTTGCCCCCTTCAATCGTACTCTTCAGTCGCCTCCGTTGTCTCGTCCTCCATATACTGCAGCGGGCGATCTGTCGACATGAACAGAAACGGCACCACAAATGCCTCGATTGAGACCTGCACGATCAAGCCTCAGAGAAGCAGTGCTTGAGGCTCGAGGCCCTGGACACGGAAGACGACTTGACAGAAGGCAAGAAAGAAGCGAATAAAGGCGACCAGGGAAACTGATTCTGGAAGGCTCCGCGTGTTCGTAGCGCTGCTCGTACTCGTATGCGCAGGGCAAGCCCGAGTACTCAAACGTGTAGATCAGGTTGGAATGGAGCTGCGACCAGCCGCGACTGTCACTGCAAATGGGACCTTTGCTTCCGACTACTCACAAGCGGGTCCTGGAACACTCGTTTCCAGAGCACGCTGCTTTGCACATGCTGCTGCCACACAATGCTCGTCGGACAGCTGCAACTGTAGATGCTTTGTACTTAATGACGTACTGTGCGCTCTCATGATGGCATATTGATGGCTGTTGAGACACGCAGAGAGTGTTTTTGATGGAGGCAGGGAGGGAAGGTTGACTCCAACGCACAGGAAGGCCGAGAGGATCCAAGAGGCAGGTGCTTTCGTCGTGGTTATCGGAGAGCTCCGCTTGCGCAGCGAAGGCTGCCCATTGACACCGATTCGTCCCTGGTAGAAGCCTTGACATCAGACTCATCAGAACAGGCGCCTTTGCAAAGAGTACAGGCGAAATGCTGCACCTGTCATGTGACATCAATTTCGAGCACCAGAACAGCTGACTGACGCCACCGGTCCAGAGTAGAATGTGATTTCGCCCCAAAACCGGGAGCAGCGAATCAAACAATGCAGCCTCTCGCCTCTGGGAGCAGTAGCCGCGCCGACATCCAAGAAATTTGACCGCAACGCCCTTCTCGAGAGAGCTTCTCCTCATTACGATGTCGTGAAGCAGCTTGCATTCTACCGATCTGGATGGAACTAACCCTGGACCAGCAATAGCGGCCTGCAGCACCACCAGAAAACCCGAAGTTCCGAATTCGTTCACAACGTTCCAAAACCATATTGAACGTCCACTTGCCAAGGTCCGGAGCAGCTTGAAACACAGCCCAAACTCACAGCTTCTTTGGATTCAGACTACTTGGCAGTCTTGCTGCTATCGCTGCCCCTCGACATAGCTGGCTATTTGCATGGATCCAGGAAAGATCAAAGCAATTGCCATCAATACGAACCCATTCGTGCTGCTGCCTACGCCCATTGTAAATCAGGCTCATGCGTTGGAAGGCCACAAGTGCCTGTTGATCCAAAAGGACCTGGCGCGAAGGGACGGAAGGTTGGAGTGTTTCCAGGCATTCTAGAAGATGGAGGGGAAGACAATCATTAAGGTACTTAAGCGGAATAATGTCGACGAAGTTGGCACTGCGGCACTGCCCAGACTGAAAGTCCACCCAAGGCTTGTCAAACGCACGTTGCTGCCACTAAGAGTCGTTTGCAAGCCAAGCAAGCCCCTTCAAACCAATATCAACTCCAAACTGCCAAAGCTGTGCGCACCCCATCTAGGCGGTGAAGCTGGCCGCTCTCCAGCAGCAGCTGACCACGCGCTTTCAGGGCCGCAGGAGTGTTGACCAAGTTCCTTGGCTCAAGCAATGTGGAGACAACAAAGGATTTCAAGACCTGAAAAACTTCCGAATGTTAGTTGGGCACAGTTTCCGAACCTGTGGCTCTGCGAACTGCTCTGGACAGGCTCAGCCACTGGATGTCTTTTGTGAGATTGTGTGGTCTCATACTCGGCCGATATGGCCAAACTACCAAATCTTGCAACTCAAATTCTCCTGACAAAGCTCCCAGCAAAAACTGTCTCAAGAGGCACGCCATTCTGGGAGGACTGACGCTCCGTGTTGCTGCGGGCCTTGCCAGGTTGGGCAACACCTACGTCAGACAGGTTGGGCTCGCCAAAGATGTCATGCCTTGCAGCTCGAATCCACAAGCTGTCGACCCTCCTCCCCGCCTCTCGGTTCCAACACACAGGCACCTGGTCCAGAAGGGAATGGGCAAACCTGCCAGCTTCATGCTCTTGGCAGAGATACTCTGGATCTAATTGCAACAATAGCTGCGGCAAAATTGGAGACTGGATAGAATTCGTGATCCCTGGTCTCAGCTCGTGCCTTACACATGACGCCCATGCCCGGTGAAGCGCTTTGCACTCGTCGCAGTTCCACTTGGCCATTCCAGCAACTCGCGTGCTCACCTCGATGCAAGCGTACATTCGTACAGCCAAAAAAATGAACACGCTGCCAAGATGACGACACGAAGCAGTGAAGGCTCGGTGCGAAGAGTGCACTCGCCCGAGGAGCGTACAGTGACAGCACTGATGGAGGCCGCCCAGGAGCGTGCCTGAAAGCTTGGCTGGTCGGCCACATCTAGTGGCGTGAACCAGGAGCAGCTGGTGGCGTGAAATGCGGCCGCGGCATGCCGAAGGGGTTGTAGGGACCGCTCCCAGCAAACAGCTCTCCGCCGGCTTGTCCCCAGCAAGTTGGCAAAGGCCAGCGCAGCCTGCTCCAGCTGAGCCACACTCTCATCGGGCAGCATCGACATGCAGCATCTCAGGATGTCGGCAGAAAAAAGCCGGATACCCGCCACCACGGCAGGAACCACAGAGTCACGTGCCGCGTGCACAGCGGGTGCCCTTGGCCTCGTCGGTAGCTGAAGTAAACTGCGAAGAGCAGAGCTCCAGCGGCAAGCGCAGCGCGACCCAGCCGCGAGATACAAGCGAGACACCGCACGAATGTTGCAGCAGTCATTGATGATGCAGAATAAGCGAGCTCCAATCTGTGCGGCACTGAGGCCGTGCAGAATCTTTCGGTGCACGTAACCTCGCCACTGCACCTCCTCAAAATCAAGAAGGAATACCAGGATTTGATCCAGCATGCTGGGATGTGCGCTCGAAGGCACTTTCGCAGTCGCAGTTGGCTTCCAAACGCGGACGTTTGGCGCAGGCTCGGGACCAAGAACGGCTTCCCAGCGACCGAGGGGCGACGGTCCGACGCACCGATACCTGGCACTGAGCATTGGAGCGATACCCCTCAAGCTCATTAAACCGGGGCTGATTCACACGAACTTGAACAGCCATCGATTGTTTCAGACATGGAATGGCTAGTGGATGCCTGTCGCTGTCTCGCTCTTGACCTGGCCACGTGGCAGGAGCTGCGTGTCGCCCTCTGGGCGCGGCTTCAGCCCAGAGTCGGCCACAGCGTGCTCCAGCCTTGGAAGCTTTCGTGGCCGGGGGGGAAATGCTTAGAGCCTTGAGACTTCGCATGACTTCTCTTTGCCCTCGTTTCCCCTCTCGATGCCACGCAGGGGGCAGTTGAAATTGAAGCGCAAAAGAAACCTCACTTTTAACTCGACTTCAGCTGAGCAGCTAAGCGACTCAGCATGTCCCGCGCATGCTTTGGGCTTGACTAAAAAGACTTGGCAAGTTGATCAGGAGGTTTTGGGCATTCAAGCGCAAGCCTCGTAACTGGTACAGGTGGCAGTCCAAGGTCCAAAGGTCGGCGAAAAGACACCAGCAACCCAAGTGTCGACAGAAGGCCAGAACTGCCGCTCCTTTGGCATGGACCTGCACGCATGGCATTTCGGGGCAATAGGCACCTCTGAATTTCCAAACTCGACTTCGGGGACATGCCAGGCTCGGCACTTCCAGAATGCAGTGGTTGCGATTGTCGGACCTGCTCCCAGCCACTCTCGGCTTCAGCCCAGTCTGGTGACACCGGCCAAAACTTGCCCTCGACCTGAGGAAGGCACACTTCTGGGAGGTCTCGTGTTCTCCGAGTGCGCTTCGCGCCTGGCCTGGTCGCAGAAATCAACCCACAGGACGTCCCGCTCGTGGCAGTGAGGCTGAGATGAGAGTCGAGCCGGCACCTGACAGGAATGCAGGCCATTATGACATATACAGGGGCGACCATCTTCATCCAGGGTGCATGAGTTACAACACTTGGCACTGCTGCTTGTGCGACAGTCCTGTTGCTTCGCATCTAAGACTCCAAGACTCTAGACTCCTGATGCAAAGGGTTGGTGCTATTGGATTCGCCGTCACGAGCCAGTACAAGTCTGTTTATATTCCAGAAACTCGAAGCACGCCTCTACGGACACACATCAGTTCCAGACGTGACCCCACATAGGACGCGAAGGCTGCACCAAGTAAGAGGATCCAACTCAGAATCGGGGTCCTTGTTTCTCTAAGCGAAAGCTGCAAATGCCCTCGCACAGCAACACATGTGTCTTTTGGCCTCACGGCGCAAGTCAAACTAAGCTCAAGGGGCGCCCGCTCGAGAGGTCGTGCCGGCAACACAGGAGGGCTGCATGCAATCCAAGCACTAGCTGCTATAGCCTAATGGCATGCACAAAACTTTCACTGCTTAAGTTTTCTGTTGGATTGCACATAGCCCTGGCTGCTCAGCTGCTACTGTTTCAGCGTAGCGAGCGGGGTTTGCAGCCAATCATGCATGGTTAGCTGGAGCTCCAGTGACTGCTTCGTCAGGGAGTCGGCCCACATGAGGGTTGTGGGAATCCAGTGAAACCGGTCGCCTGACACTACCTCCTGGATCGCCCTGATGTTCACGAGGGAGCGCTTGTCGCTCAAGTTCGGGGAGTCGCTGGTGACGACGTCGTAGAGGCTCTTGGCGTCGGTGGCAGCGAGGTTGTGCAGGCGGGATCCGACCCGGTGTGCGGGGATCTGGTAGAGGATCTCGCCGAGGAACATGTTGAGGTAGGCGCTCCTGTCGCACGCCTCATCGGCTGCGCAGCTCTCGGCTGCTAGTGTGGAACGGCACACTCTCTGGGATCGGCACGACTTCCAGTCGACGATCATGGCAGGGACGGTCTTTTGCAGCACAGCGGCGGTGCAGAGGACTATCAGGACCCCGCACTGGGACCGGCTTTGCTCGGCGTTCGCCCAACTAGCATCCGAGTAGGCGAGGATCACCGTGGCCTTGTTCACGGGGATGTCGGGGATGACGAAGCCGTGGTCCTTGGTCTCGCGTGCGAAGTCGACCGCCTGGTACAAGTCGCGCAGGTCTGCAAGCGTAGTGCTGGTCCCGTGGTTGGCCAGGCTGTTCACAGCTGCCAGCTCGGGCCTGGTTTGGCCGCTCAGCCACTGAAGGCAGCCCGCTAGGCTGCGAAACTCGGCCCTTTGGTCGACCGTAAGGGTCTTGTCCAGGTCGCTGCCGCGAGGAACTTTTCCCGGGTCGAGTCCTTCGATGAACTCGCGCTGGCACACGTGAAGAAACACTCGGCCGTTCGCCTTCTGCTTCAGCGTAAGCTGCTTGCCCTTAAAGGTGACGGTCTTGCCGATGGCGAACTCCTGGAGCATTCCCCAGCGGAAGGCTCGGGTGACCTCGGTGATGTCGTAGTCCTCGCGGTGGGCTCCAATGAAGTCGTCCACATAGACGATGATTATCGACACTATCTGCTTGTTGAGGTACTTAAGGAAAACCATCTTGTCGAAGGAGTGCTGGGTGTAGCCAATCTCCTTGAGGCGGGCTATGACGGTGAGTGCCCACAGCCGCGGGGCGTTGCTTAGCCCGTAGATGTTGGTGCACACAAGGTAGAGGGGGGCCTTCCAGCACTCAGTCATAGCGGTGATGCCGTCGGTGGGCGGCATGAGGTATAGCGGCTGGTCTCTCTCCGAGGCAGTGATGTCCCCTTGGAGAAACGCGGTGCTTGCGTCGCCGCTCCAGGCTTTCCAAGCTTGGCCGGAGTCATCAAACTCCCGGTTGTGGCCCGCCACCATGATGCAGAACAACACGTGCTCCGATGTCCTGTTCGGGGTGGCGCATTCTCTGTTGAGCCGGAAGATGTCGGGGTCACGGTGGCCCAGTGCCACGACGCGGCACTTAGGGAGTAGCTCTGCCAATCCCCGGCTCTTGTCTCGGAAGCAGCTCCTCGTCCTGAGGATCCGCTTGGCCAGGACCCTGTCTTTCAAAACCTTCTCCGCCTCCGCGTGGGAAAGCGGACGAACTGAGCCCCACTCTTCCCAGCTCTTCGCCTCCTTGACGGTGGCCTGCTTGAACGCCTCGATGTCCTTCTGGGGCATCTCCAGGATCTTCCGCCAGGGGATTTCGCGGTCGAGTGCTTTGGCCTCGGCTCTGGTGAGGGGCTTCTTGGTGTGCTTGCCTGGCGCGGCGTCGTCCCAGTCCGAGTCGCTGCTGTCGGTCTCGGTTGGGTCCTTAGTAGTGTGCTTGAGGTCGTCCTTGCGGTGGGGCGAGCTCAGGTACGCCTGGTAGTAGTTCTCGGCTTTTGGGCCAAAGCCCTCGTCGAAGGTCTCGCCCGGGACAAAGTGGTGCAAGTTGCCGTCCTCGTAGAAGAGCGTGGTCAGTGTGTCGAAGGGTCGCTTTGCCGGCAGGAGGTTCTCGTTGGGGTCTGTCGACGTGCTCGGCTGGCTTGTCACCGGAGTTGTCGGGGCACGCGAGCTGCTTGACGCCGACGGTGTCGGTTGTGCAAGTTGTCCTGAAGGTTGTGCCTCGGTGGCTGTCTGCTGTGGTAAACCTCCTTGGTCTAACGGACTCGGGCACGGCACAGGTGTCTCGTCCTCCATGCCTGGTATCTCTGCGAAGTCTGCGGACGCGTATTGGGCTGACTCCAAACCTACCTCCAGTGGTGTCGGTGGAACTGGTACCGGTGGTTCTGGAAGTACTGGCGTCAACGCTTGTTGTTCTTGAGGTCCTCGGTCCGCTGGTGGTGTCGCTGGCACCGGTGGTTCTGGAAGTACTGGTGTCAACGCTCGTTGTTCTTGAGGTCCTTGGTCTTGAAGGTCTCTAAGTGGTAGTGCCGCCGGCTTTGGTGAGCGGCTCCTGGCTGTGACCCTGGGGGTCCTGGGCACTGAGACAGCGCGTGGTGTCCTCGGTGCTGATGCCGCTCTCCGGGCTCCTTGAGCAGGATCGCCAAGACGAGCTGTGATGATGGTCTGCTGGAGGCTCGGCTGGTAGACTAAGGTCTGGCTCTGCTGGTTCAGTCGCACGCTGTTGTCCTGGAGTGTCGGTGCCGGTGTTGTCGCCGAGGGTTGTTCTGGTTGGGCGGCCGTGGCCGCAGCGAGCTCGGGGTTGGCACCGTCGAAGAGCTCCGGGTCAAAGTCAACCTCGTCCTCGTCGATCTCTCTCCTTGGCGGCGGCGGGCCCGTCTCGTCGGCCCACACCGATTGGTCCAGGCTCTTTGCCGCGTCCTTGAGCATCTGCACCTCTTCTTCGGTAGGCACCCAGGCTTCAAAACCTGTTGCGACGCGGAGCTGCTCAACGGCAACCATTGCTGTAGAGGTGCCTGACCTGACCCAGGCCAGCTTGCCCGGGGAGCTGGGGTCCCAGCTCAGGAACTTGGCTGTGATCCAGCCGCCTCGTTTCTTGATGCCTCTCTTCCTCCACCTCCAGTAGGCACATGGTTGTCCAGGCTGGAGGTCCGCAGTCCGGATGTTGCGGGTTTTCCGAAGGAGTGCTCGCCTCAGGCTCTGCTTAACGTTGAGGTCGCTGATGGCTTTCACCGCCTCGGCTCTGACGATCTCGGCGGTGGCGGCGGCATCTGTGGTCGGCGTGGTTGCTAGGGCGTGGCTGTCGGTGAAGAGGCCCCCGGGAAGTCGAGGGACTCGGCCGAACACGGCCTGGTATGCACTCCGGCCGCGGCTTAGGACCATTGAGTTCACCGCGTGCAAGGCCGGGGCCAGGAGAAGCTGCATCTCGTTCACGTCCGTGGCGGCAAAGGTGTCGACCAGCTTCTCGATCACGGTGCGGAGGAAGGCGTTCTGCCTCTCGACCTGCCCGATTTGCCAGTGGGCGTCGGCCGCGCAATGGTTCACCAACACGCCGTGGGAGCGAAGTCGTTCCTCGAAGGCGCCCTGGAAGGTGCCGTCGGGATCCACGGCAAGCTGTGTCATCATGCCAAAAGGGCGCAACCAAACTCGCTCCAGGGCCTCATAGGCAGTCTCCGGGTCTCTGTTGGGGAGGATGGCTGCTTGGTGCAGCCTTGTTGCTGCATCAACTATCCCCAGCACTATCACAGATCTGCCTCGAAGGTCCCGGCAGTAAAACACGTCAGCTTCCACTCTATCTCCGAATTGCGTCGCCCTAGGTGCCGAGGTCGCTGGTGGCGGTCGCTGTGGGCCGCGGAGCCGGTCACACGTGGCACACTTCAGGCGGCGGATTGCTTGCAAAAACAGTTCGCTAGGGGAGCCCGTCTGTACTGCGAGTCGTAGGAGCTCCTCCGGCGCCCGGAAACGTGACATCCGTGGGGAGCCCGGCAATGGGAATGTCCGGGCTGTGGTCTGGCTGCTTCTCGGGCTCTTCCTCGATGAGGTGACCGTAGGCTAAAATAGCAAACCTCACCGCTTTTGAAAATCGCTGCTTCGAGGCTGAGGTCCTCCACTTCCACTGCTCTGGCGCCGTCCGAGTAGACAAGGAAGGCGGCCCTGGCAGTAAAGGGGATGTCGCTGGGCATCCTTCGCTGTGTCGGCGTCTGCACACATTGGATCCGCTCCAGCCGAAGGCGAAAGAGGTCCGCAATCTTCTGTCCCACCTCGCTCCCCGGGTCCACGTAGAAGGGGCGAGAGCTCGACGTCCCAAAAGAGCGGTTGAGCATCTCGGCCATCTCGTTCCATGAGGTGAGCTCCGTCACGGGGGTGCGGTAGGTGGCATAGGTCTCGAAGATGCCGAACCGGAGGGGCTCCTTGGCGACGACGTAATTCATAATCGCGTCGAGGAGGGGGTCCGGCGGTTCCTTCGAGGAGTCCTTGTTGTCGTGGTGGTCGTGGGGCCCGTTGGTGAGGAAGGCCGCTGCTCCGGGGATGTTGGTGTAAAGGTCGGCCTGGGTGCTGCTATCCAGCCAGACGGTCTCCGGAGTAGGGCCCGACAGTTCTCGGTGCCAGGTGGCCAGGTTGCTTCCCGGCGGGCCACCACGATAAAACCGCGTCCTTGCTCGGTCTGCTCGTGCAGTAGCTTCTGGGTGTTGTTGCCGAGGTCGCCGTTGGGGAAGAAATCGAGGTAGGAAAGGTAAAAGACGTGGGGCCGAAGGCGCCGTAGTGCTCGTAGTGCTCCTTTCCATCCCTCAGGGCCGTCGCGAAGACGGTCGGCGATCCCGGCGGTCAAGGTCGTAGACGAAATTTGCCGCTCCGCCAGGCCAGCCTGGATGTTATAGTAGTCGGGGAAGGCCGCAAGGAAGTCCACGGTGGGTGGCGGCCGGCTGGCTGTCACGGGGGCGGCGTCGTAGATCTCCCTCTCGCTGTCGAGCACCTTTGCTGATCGGGACCAGCTGCCCTTGAGCCGCTTCACGCGGCCTCGTTCCAGTCGTAGGTCTCCGAGTCCTCGGCCTGCAGCAGCTTCCAGTGGTCCACGTCCATCTCCGAGGCGCTGCTCGCTGAAGCCCGCCTCGCCGAGCGCTTCTTGGGTGAAGTCTTCGCCGTGGCGCCTGTGCGGGAAGCCCGGGACGAAGGCCGGGACACTCGGCTGCTCGATGGTGCTGCCTCCGACGATATATTGGAAGAGGAGGGCAAAGGCGGTCGCGAGGTGAGAAGTGTAGTGCCGAATCCCGCCTTTGGGTGATCTTCCCATGCTCCTTTGTGCTCGTTCCAGCGCAGCCTCCGGTGGCACTTCTTGCATCGGGCGAACTTCCCGTAGGCGTTCCCGTACCGGACATAGTCGGGATGGTCGCAGCTGCCCGGTGGATGGTTGAAGGCTAGGTCCAGCTGCGGGGGAATCGCCTCGAAGATCTCTGCCGGGAGGATGTCGAGGTTCACCGCGACAGTCATGCTGAGAAACACCTGTTTCCGAAAGTGGACCAGGTTCCCCACCAGGCGTTTCCAGCAGCGAAGCCATCCAGGAGGCGGGGGCGCTCGGGTGGTCACTCGTTCCATGCGCCGGCTGAGGTTCCAAGGTGGGCTCCGCGAGGTCTTGGGCCACTAGTTCTGCCGGCGGGTGATCCCAGTTCACTGTGTTCTGCAGCTGCTGCCATGAGACATGCTCGCTAAAGTCAGTGATGCAAACAGCCAAGTGACCACCAATCCTAAGCAGCGGCACAGTGACATGAAGGCCCTCGAAGTGCACAAGGTTGCGGGGAAGGTCGAGGATCATGCCAAGCTGATCCAGCAATCTGTTGGAGGCAAGCAGAGGGATTTTTGCACTCACGACGCCCACTCCGAAGATCAAGTTGTGGTGTCCGAGGCCCACCGGCAAGTAGGACCGCCGGGCCGCTTTGAGCGGGTCTCCGCTCCCAAACTGAAAAGAATCTGTGCAAGGAACCCGGTGGGCGCTAAGGCCTCGCTTCTGCAGCTGGTGGTCGTGGCTTTTCTCCCAGTGAAGTCCGCACACCGTGCGCTGGCACGCCGTGTCAAGCACCATGACCTCTGAGAAGTCGGCCGTCATGCCGGGCTCGGCTTGCACCTTAAAGACAACATTGACCTGGAAGAGGGAACCGTACCCCGGGTCGTCTGTTGCCTCAAAACTGCCCATGCCCCGCACGAAGAAGGTCTGGTGCGCGGTCTTGCCGCCTTTGCCGTGCTGTCCCTTTCCGGTGGTGGGCGCTGGCTGGGCCGGCCGGCTGCTCGAGGACGCCGTCTTTGGCGTCATTGGGCACTCGGCGTCTCCTTTCCAATGGCCCTTTTCGCCGCATGCCTGGCAGTGGGTCTCCTTCTTCAGGGCGGCCGTGTCTTTCCTGGGTCCCCCGGTGAACTTCCGGCCCAGGCGGAGTCCAGAAAGCTTCTTGGCCGTCACGGTGAGGACCTCTGCCACCTCGGACAGGTCGGGCACGTCCTGCTCGTCGTCGCCCTCGGTCTGGTCGTCGTGGGCGGACTCGTGGTCGTCGGGCTCGGGCTGGAAGTCCTGCTCGTCGGGCTCCTCGGGAATCTGCTCCATGGGCTCGTGGTCGGCCTCCTCGGTGACAAAGACCCTGCGGGGCTGCTCCCCTTTGGCGCGGTCGCCGAAAGCTCCTTTGCCTTCGTAGCCCCCGCGGTTTCCTCCTTTGGTGCCCTTCTCGCGTCCCTGCTGGTGGGGCTTGCTGACGAGGGCGCCGTCCTTGTTCACCACCGGCGGGGCCGCCTTGAACTCGGGGTACTGCATGACCATGCTGTCGGCGACGTCGTCGAAGTTGAGGCTGTAGCGGGCCCCGACCAGGATGAGCCGCTGGTCGGCCGAAGTGAGGCGCGCCCTCTCAAGGAGGCGGTTGCCCCGCGCCTCGGCGTCATACATGCCGGTGATGTTCACGCCCAAGGCCTCAAGTGACCGCTCTACTCTCCGGTACCGGTTCGCGAAAGTCCTGAGGCCTTCTCCCGGGTACCGGTTCAGCTGCTCAAAGTCGGCCAGGAACTTCCTTTTCTGAAAGACGGACTTCTGCTCCATCGGGGCCTTGAGGGCGGAGAGGATGTAGTCCACGCCGTCGTCGGCATTGATGCTGCTGAGGGGCGCGTGCTCCAGCTCGGCTTCGGCTTCTCCGGTCAAGCTGGTATAGAGCATGAGGGCGGCCTCGCGGTTGGTCATGTAGTTCTTGATCTGAACCCGCCAGATCTCAATCTTGCGGGCCCACTTGCTGAAGGCGCGGAGGTCGGTCACGTCGTACTTCCATGAGGGCGGCGAGGGTGGCGTGCCACCACGCCACCGTACATTCTTTTCTGGGCCCATTCGGCTGTTCCACGAGGTTGTCTCGGACTTCTCCTTCTTGCTGTGGGGAAGGCTGCTCTTCACCTCCTCCAGGGTGAGGTGCTGCGGGTGCTCGGGAAGCTCTTCGCCCTGCGGGGGGCGAGGCGAGTTGCGCAGTGGTTCTTCTTGGGCTCGGTTCGGATCTCCTCGGTGGCCTGGTCGAAGAAGTCGGTCTGCGGGAGGCTGTCGCTGAAAAGGATCGTGCCGGCGAGCGCGTCGAGAAGTAACTGAGGAATCTCCTCCAGACACTGAGGGGTCATAGGTGAGGGTCTCTGACTCAGCTTGCTCCGAGCGCTCTGAGAAACCGTCTCCGGACGGTGGTCCTCCGCGGGGTCTCCTGTTGCGTCGTCGTCTCCTTCCGGCCGCCGGGTTGTTGCCGAAGTTCGCGGTCTCGTCGTCGGGTGGCGGCCTTGGCGGCGAAGGTGGGGCCGTCCCATTCGGCACGTAGTGCCGCTGTCCCCGGCCATGAACGGCCGGTCTCACCAGCGGCCGGTCCACCCGGTAGTGCGTCAAGGAACCGCAGTCTCGACAGCTCAGTCTTCCGAGGTAGTCGGGAAAGAGGTTCTCGCCATCACAGTCGGCGCATCTCAGATTTTCCTGTCGTCTCGGGCTTCTGCTGGGCAAGGTTCCTGGGTCGTCCGGAACGTCGTCGTCGATGCTCTCCAGGCTCGGCACCTCCTCCTCCAAACCAAAGTCGGATCTGTCCGCCTCGGCCATGTCGAAGGTGGGGATCACGGGCATCGCGGCGACGAAGTGCAGGCTCCGGTGCCAACTAAGCGAAAGCTGCAAATGCCCTCGCACAGCAACACATGTGTCTTTTGGCCTCACGGCGCAAGTCAAACTAAGCTCAAGGGGCGCCCGCTCGAGAGGTCGTGCCGGCAACACAGGAGGGCTGCATGCAATCCAAGCACTAGCTGCTATAGCCTAAGGCATGCACAAAACTTTCAGTTTCTAGGGGTCGTTGGGCTCTGCTTGGAAAGTTGGGCTCCGCGAATCGCACCTTCGCTTGCGGCGCTTTGAACTTGAAGGTCTCGTAGCACCAGTCGTGGTAGCGCCATTTGGATCCAACGATGCAAAGGCTCTGACGCCACCTCAGGGCAGGGGGCTCGGCTCACAAGTCACAACTTTCCGCCAAGGCAATCGCCCACGCCTCAATATTCGATCGCACGCGGGAGCACCAGCCACGTCGAGCGCGAGAGTCACCTCGGCTGCTCCGCGAGCGCTTGTTAAGTCTTCTTGACTGCGCCTCTTGACCTTTCGGGAGCTTCTGGCAGAAGCAAGCTGAGAGGAGACAAGTTAAATTCCTCAGAAGTCCTGTTCAATAACTATGTAGAACAGGACCGCCAGTTCGTCCCGATATTCTTGTGATCTATGCTTGAACTCCAGTGCCGGAACCTGACCAAAGTAGCGACGGCAAGGATGAAGTGGAACCGCAAAACGCCCAGCCACCCAGCCCCCGTGTCCCGGCGTCGGTGCAGTTGACAGGTCCACAGCTCTGGAGCCGCAAAGGAGGACGCCGCCTCTCGCGATGGCTCGAGGGTATGTATGGCCAGGCGCTCCGTGCCCCCCCCTCCCCCCCCATGCCCCCATGGTCCATGGCCCCCACTGTGTGGTTGGGGTCTGGTTCCCTCTTCCCCCTGTGGTGTAGTTGCGGGGTTTTCGGGTTTCGGGCTTAATGCTAAAAGTTATAAGGCTTCGAATCTACAAGAGCTTAACTTAGGGAGGGGTTGGGGTGTAGGTTGGTTGGGGTGTTCTACTTCAAGTTGAAAGCCTGCATGTAGGCGGGGTTTAGGGTTGGGTGTAAGGTTTAAAGTTTAAAGCATTTAGTACAGGTTAAGGTTAGTAGAAACAGGAACACACCCTACGTCAAAGAGTTTATGGCTTGCGTAGGGCTTGCGTAACATCCCTGCCGTCTCTGTGACTCCTGGCCGCCCCCCAGCAGCACCCCACCAAACCGCCCTGCGCAGCCCCCCACCACTGCCAGACCATGCCGTTGGGGGGGGGAGGGGGGCAGCTGGGAACGCCAAACGCCTGATCATGGCAAAATCTGACGTGCCCTCTGCTCTCCTTCAAGGACCGAGTCGTCGGAGTCAGCCACATCCTGCAGCACGACTGCTCTTTCGCTATTCACTCGATTCGGGAAAGAGCAAGGATCTCCTGCAGGCCATGCTTGGAAGGATTCCAGCAGTTCTCGTCGCCGGACTTCTCCAGGGCGACAGCGCGCTCTCCCACCACGACGATCTCTGTTTCCCTCGCTTCCAAGCAGGGGTGGAATCATCAATGACGAATGCGACTGAACTCCAACCGCAATCTTTCCCTGCTCCAAGAGAGGAAGAAAGTAAAAGCACTTTGGACCAAGCAGGTCCTGAAGATGTTGTAGTGTTGTTTTCCATCGCTGCCACGCTTAGTCATGCCGACAATGCCTCAGGCTTCCAAGATTATGCCTACAAAGATCGTCGGACAAAGTGCAGCAAAACAGCGGGGCACCTTCTATGAGGCCATCACGAAGGAGTTCTATCAGAGCGCAGGCTTGTGCCGGCATCCGCACGTAAGTACTGCATCTTGATAAAGAGCTTTCTTTTGCCAAACACATCACAGGCTTCTGCAAGCAAAGAGGCTGATCTCGGAGAAGCCGTTCGTCAGCTCATGCGCTATGCAAGTTTCGAGCATGCCCTTCCGAGCCTTTGCTGCGCAAATTGTGGCAGCCACTCGTCGTTCCATGTCACAAAGCCCTGGAGCTCGTAAGATGCTCGGCCAAGATGCATCAAAGGTCAAGATCGGGATCCGCTTTAGCTCCAAAAGCTCAAACGAGTTGCGGCTCACCTCCCGAGATCCAAGATCCGAAGATCGCAAAGACAAGGGTCTAGTCACTCTGAATCCGAGTCCAGGCGGGTTCAATAGGCATTTCAGCGAAACGTCCTCAGAGAAAGGATCGAAGGCTTACCAAGACGATTATGTGGTCCAACCACCTTCAAGCCTAATGCGACCGACCTTACCACAAGCCCCACGTCCCGTGTCCGAAGCACTGCAGCGAACAAGTAAACGGTTTCGTCCCAAACCGCTTACCCGGTAACAAATATTTATGCCAGCGTAGATCCTCGAACAGTGATACAGCACCATGACGGCCATGACGACCACCACGACCACGACGACGAAGACCGCCCAAACCACCAGCCACTACCACCAGGACGACAACCGGTGTTGCCAGGTATGGTGAGGTGCATGTTGTGCTATTATTCACACACGATCCGTGTGCCCCAGTCCTCAGAAAAGTTGATCCTGCAAGTACATGGGGGGAAGCATTTTGGCCGCCACCTGCAAGCTCATGGGGCAACAACAGTCTCAATGCCCTCGAGGGCTCAACCCTTGACTGTCGAAGCACTTTCCTAACCCTCTCTCTCTCTCTCTCTCTCACTCACTCACTGACTGACTGACTGACTCACTCACTCACTCACTCACTCACTCACTCTCTCTCTCTCTCTCTCTCTCTTGTGATTTTTGATGTTTTGCTTTCGCCAGGGCTAGGGCGGGGGTTGGCCCGCCACCTCTGTGTGTGTGTCTCTCTCTCTCTCTCTCGTCTTGTCTTCGAGCGCCGACAGCCGCCCCTCTTCTTAGGGGATCTGTAGGCGGGAGTGAAAAGCGGCAGAAGCAAGGAAAGCTCACTGATTAAAAAATAAACCTCCGATCCGCGAACAAATATCCCCCACTACTGCAACGCATCAACTAAGAAAATCTATGCTTTCGAAAGGAAGCAGTGATGGGCAGGAATATGGAATTCTGCTGGATCCGACAAACTCAAGGTTGAACTCGTTTTGGGGGCGCATCCCAATTTGGGCGAACAATGAGGCAAGACCCTTCTCTCTCTCTCTCTCTCTTTCTCTCTCTTCTTCTGCACAGCCCAAGGAGAGCAAGAGCGCTCTCCTCGCGCGCGAACGCGCCCCCGCCCCCATCCATCCTTTTGACAGAGGGGTTTTGCCCGTACGTTGGTTGAGAGGGTCGCCCGGTGCTGTCGGTTAGGAAGCATCCGTGGGGGCAAGTGTTGAGGCCTGGACTCAAGCTAGAAACCCTAGATACGAGAAGTTTGGTGCCCCCTCGGAGTTGTGTGTTTAGTAGGTGGCACCCGGCATCAGACGAAGAACAGACCACCAACAACACCTGAATTGTAACACCACATACAGCGACAACTGTTAGTTTGTGTCGGGTGCCCCCTTTCTCTTCACAGAGTGTATCCCAACCTCTCCTGCCTGACCCTGCCTGACCCTGCCTGTATCCCGAACTCTCTCTCTCTCTCTCTCTGTCTTTCCCGGGCATGGGGGACGGTGAAATCCCCCCCAAGCCGATGGCCCGCCCGTGCTGTTTCGGAATCGAAGAACTGTAGAGAAGCAGCCTAAGGCCTTAAAGAATGCGACAACGATTCCCCTACAGTTTTAGTTTTGCTGGAAATCTAAACGGCGGCAAAAAGACAGTCTTAGCACCGGATTAACTGCCCCCCCCCCTCTCGGGGGAAGATGCGGACACGAATTGCAAAAGGAGGTCGGCAACTGTACCCTAAACTAAAGGCAACCTAGGTCGTGGAGCTGCTTATCGCCTCGCCCACGACGAATCTTCGCCCGCGGAGCTGCGGCATGCCAAGCACACCTCAAGGTGCTGCAAAAGCTGGAAGATGTCGAAATCTGTTCACCGGCTCAGATCCCTAATCCTGCATAGAGACGCGTCAGTCCATGGCCGCTGCAAAGGCGAGTTTGAAAGACAAGCCGACTCCAGATTAGTTGTCTGTAGCTCTGAAGACAATTTTAAAATGGGATTCAGGTGCAACGTTGCCCTTGGTCTTGATGCGAACTCGCATATTATACGCATCATCTGTTAAGCCGCCCTGTTAAAGAAGCCTGTCGTGCCCGACGTCTAAATCAAGCTGACTCAAGTCCGCTCCCAGTTTTGGCTGCCCGAACCCCCACCAGTCCACCTCGAATATATTGAAGTTTGTGGCCTCTGCACGCTGATTTCTGCAAAATCGCAACGGGTAGCCTTTCTGGAGCTTTGCATTTCGACTGTGTCTTGCTCACCCGTTTTCCAGGCTGCCGGACGGTGCAAGGATGGCTGATTGAGGCTGCGCTGTTGGGAGCACGCCACCTTCAAGGCCGACACGTGCTGCCCTGCAGAGGCCATGATCCGGTGCATACCTGGGATCCAGTGGGGTCAACGTCTTTGCTCCCGCACTCTGATAGTCTAAGACGCCACCATGGACAACACAGCACAATCAAAACTGGAATTCGCTGAGCCGGTCACACGAGAGGCTGGCGGCTGTTTTGCACTGAAGTTACACAGCAAACGCGGCGTCTGGGCTCCATCGGCTCGTAGACAACAAATCTACATCACTTACCGCAGTTAACGTCTCAGCTATGTTGGAATGATAATAAAAATGACTCCGTCTGGCTGTCTAGCTAGCTCATCGACTCATAGTGCTGTACTCCAAGGATGCTGCAATAGGCTGTGCTCTGCGGCGTTTCGGTCAGGATGAATATCTGCTGCTACGGCAACGAAAGCTACCGGAACGCCCGGTAATACAGTAAAACTCATGGATCATGTGAATGCTTAGCCGGCCATCCTGCACGGGCACTCTGCTGACGAAGGCACTGTCCTCCTAGGGCAACTCAATGGCTCACCCGAACGTACAGCTGCAAACGGCATAACTGTTCCAATATGCAGTATTGCAGCAAACTGTGCTGAAACCCTTGGCCACCTCTGCAGCGACTCTCGCTGCAACTTGCTCCTCCTGTCGGACAAGCTCCCACTTGGCCTTCCGCCTTGATTTTGGACATTCCTTGCTTGAACCAACCTGCCTCCGTCGGCCGAGGCCTTGACTTAGTCTAGCAGCTGTGGCGCAGAAAGGCAGGGAGGCAGGTACGATGTAAAACGCTTCCCCCAATGGCCCAAGGTGTGTCAAGCTTGGGTCTTGGGTCCCAGTAGTAGTAGTAGTAGTAGTAGTAGTAGTAGTAGTAGTAGTAGTAATAGTAGTAGTAGTAGTAGTAGTAGGAGTAGGAGTAGTAGTAGTAGTAGTTGTTGTTGTTGTTGTTTTTGTAATAATGGTGCCTAATGACGGCTTCATCATCAGGGCTTGGATTAAGTTCTAATAACAGCTTCGGAGGGCTCTGGAGGCAAGCTTAATAGGCCTTCATTAAGGCTTAGTAGGGCTTGGTCAGTAAGAACAAAGACGCCAAAGCAAGAAATTGAAGGGCTCAATTTCTTATTCAGGGAGGTTCTGGTAAGGGCTCAATACAGGCTTTACAGTCAATCGAGTATGGCTTGGTAGAGGTTCAAAGGATGCCGTGCCTGAGTTGTCAAGCACATATATAACTATATAACCCATGTCTGGGATAATCACTGGCTCGAATCCCGCAGTCGTTTTTGCGTGAGCCTGATTTTTTAGGATTTTGATTGGATAGTATTTTGATAAGAAAGTGCGCTTCAAAGTTAAGATATCACGGGTCCACTCGCGAAACAACAACTGTGTCTTGGGCGGCGCTGTCGCTGTGGTAGTACTCGATAGTATTTGTAGTACTAGCAGAACTGCTACTACTAGTAGTACCGGTATCACTGGTAGTACTGGTGTTGGCCCTCGGAGTAGTAGTAGTAGTAGTAGTAGTAGTAGTAGTAGTAGTGTTGTTGTTGTAGCAGCAGAAATAGTAGTAGGGCTCATTGTGGGAGTAGGAGTCGCATAGAGGTAGCATGTAATAGCAAGCCCGGAAAGCAGTCGGACCTTCCGACGCCGCAGGCGCAGCAGAGCCTCGTCCCTCCCCTGGCTCAGTTTGGGTTCGAACATTTTACGCAGCCTTTCCAGCCGAAGTGCAGCAGCTGTGAGACTCGGATGTCACAGTTCAGCGCCATGTTACAGCTTCAGACATCTTCTGACAACATGTCCCGCCTCCTCTTTGTAGGGAGAGGACAAGACTTCGATCTCTAGCGAGATGCCATGGTGGCTTTGGACTCTGTTCGGATGATCCTCTTTGAAACTCACCTCAATACAGTCAACAGATCGCCGCATGCAAGTATGAATGTAGAATTCGGGATTTCCAGGAAGTACTCTTGCCGGCCGGAAACACTTTGCGCACATTTCGCTTTCACAGCTCTGCATACATTCACGGCTCCACTACTTGCTGCCCCAGGTGCAGAAGCATCGAAATTGACACAGCTGTCCACGAGCTTGAGCGGCAACCCTGCAAGCAGCTCGGGATTCAAGACGCCCTGTTCAACCTGGGCGTCAAGGTCGGAATCTGTCCAGACTGCATCAGCTCGTGTGTGACAGGTCGGCTGGTGCTGTGATACACCGTGAGTGCTATGATCTGCATTTCCAGAGTTCATCCCTTCCTGAATCGAGCGCGGGGGGGCAGAACACACACACACACACACCCGATGTCACAACCAAGACCTCTGCAGCCGGGACTCGTGGAGTGAGCGCTTGCCGGCATGCGGCGTCACGATCCCCTTGTCTTTCACAAAGTACCTAGAGTTGCGGCACTTTTACAGCTCTTGCAAGTCAACCCTGTGAAGCCAAACTTGCAATGTTGCATGGCGTCGTGGACAAACTTCAAAAGGCAGTTCAAAGGTGGTGTGCATTCCAACCCCTTCTTCATGCCCCTCCCTGGCATGGCATCCAAAGCACTTTTCCAGTGCCAGGAACTTCTTCACAAGCGCGCCGACAAGTGACATCGCCTGTTCATGCTCAGCGCAACCCTCACGGCGACAAAGCTATCGAAGGGACTCGGCCGACGCAGCTCAAAGAATCAGGCTTGGCCAGGTGGGGAGCGTAGAAACGAAACCTGGGATGTGGAAGCCAGCATGTGGCAACGACGCGAAAGAGCAAATGTTTGTGTGGCAGAGCCATGCAGAAACATGGCTCGAGAACAGCAACGGGACCCAGTCGAACGGTAGCCGTCAGCAAGACCACTTGAATAATCGCGTTGTTTCAGTATTCAGCTCGTTGCACATCTTACCTATGACCTGGCGCTGCCCGACTGGAAGCGAGCATCTTTCGAGGACTCTGAGAATCTCTGGGACCAGGCTTCTCTGTGAACCACAAGAAGTGAGGTCCGTTTGATGCAACAGAGAATCAGCTGTTCTGATGTTTTCTTGTGCTCGTGGTCTGTCTTGTGAGTCTTGTGTGCTACTGAGTCTTCCTGCTGTGGCGTGTGTGTGGGCTTGTGCAGTTCGTTATTCAAACTTAGGCTCTGCCTCCATCAGCCTTGCAGGCAGCATGGCGCAAACCTTTTCTCACTGTTTCTGTTGCTCAAGGCATACTGTTTTGAATGGTTGGAATGGGCGGGCGGGCGGGCGGGCAGCGGGCGGGCGGGGGTGGGCGGGCGGGGGTGGGCGGGCGGGGGTGGTGGGATTGGTGGGTGGGGGTGTATGGTGTAGCCAGGAAAACGTGCAGGGGTGGGGTGGGTTGGGTTGGGTTGGGTTGGGTTGGGTTGGATTGGATTGGGTTGGGTGGGTGGGTGGTTGGTGTGTGTGTGTGTGCACTTGTGAAGTCAGTGAGTGAGTCAGTGAGTGAGTCAGTGAGTGAGTCAGTGAGTGAGTGCGTGTGTGTGCGCGCGTGTGTGTGTGTGTTGTGTGTGTGTGTGTTGTGTGTGTTGTGTGTGTGTTGTGTGTGTTTGTTGTGTGTGTTGTGTGTGTTTGTTGTGTGTGTTGTGTGTGTTTGTTGCGTGTGTTGTGTGTGTGTGTTGTGTTTGTTTGTGTGTGTTGTGTGTGTTTGTGTGTGTGTTGTGGTGTGTTTGTGTGTGTGTGTGTGTTTGTGTGTGTGTTTGTGTGTGCTTGTTTGTGTGTGTTTGTGTGTTTGTGTGTGTGTGTTTGTGTGTGTGTGTGTGTGTGTTTGTGTGTGTGTGTGTGTGTGTTTGTGTGCTTGTGTGTTTGTGTGTTTGTGTGTGTGTGTGTGTGCGTGCTGTGTGCCGTGTGCTGTGTGCTGTGTGCTGTGTGCTGTGTGCTGTGTGGCTGTGTGCTGTGTGTTGTGTGTCGTGTGTGGTGTGCTGTGTGCTGTGTGCTGTGTG